ACCGAGAAATTAAGATTAAAAGGATAAGAATGACGGAGTAGCAATTGCCGGTATGGTGTGAACATCATGTGCCTCAGTGGTGTATGAGTTGTCCGACAATATCATAGGAGAGAGTAGTGGATGACAGGGCTGAAGGTCCTTTTAGTTTTTTAATAAGAAAAATGGTATTCGAAAAGTTGAGACGTACAGTATAGGACTATATATGTAAAGGAAAATAGTCATATAGATGTACAGTGTCTAGTTTGTAAATTCAAGTATGTCATGCAAATTAAACGCGTACAAGATGTTTATTCGTTTATTCATTTTGATTGTCTGGTTTAATTCATATTTATATTTTAGGATAATTTAATTGTTTTTTTTATTTTGTTCACGTTGTTTTTAATAATATATTTTTCTCAAATACACATTCTTAATTCAAATTACTGTCTTTTGTTTGGTATAGTCCTTTTCTTTCACATCATCAAAATAATACTATTTGTTATGCAATCTCGAAAAAGGTTGTGACCACTCAGTTGTTCTACTATCATAAAATAATGAAAAACATATATATACCTTGTGGAACACTAAAATTATGAAGAATTATAAATTTTTATTGATGTTTGTAGACATTTTCACAAGTATCACATCATATACTTATGCATTTATTATAAATATATAGGTTATCAAAAAAAGATGAAAAAAAAAAGAAAAAAATGATGCATTTTGGGATCATGTTGAACAAAACTCTAACTATCATGGAGGTATTTCAATAGTCGAATCACATTTATCCAGAATAAAATGTAGACATATTGAAAATTTGTTCAAAAGTACCTTTAGGGTTCAAGCAGCTGCATTTTATTTTTAATTTAGGCAACATAGTTAATTAATTGAATTAAAAAAAAAAATCATTAATTTTGTGATGAATTGATCATATTATGGACATATGATTATTGATTAATTATGTTTAGATAGTTTGTTTCTTTTATGATTATTGTGATAGTGTTAATTATAATATATTTATTTTATTATTTATTACATATTCTTCATTGTCCTCACAAATATATAAGAAAATAATAAGATTCGTATAGCCGATTTTTTTGTTCCGAATTTTTAATACATATAACGTATTATACACCTATACATTCGTATTTTTACGTTTTTGTTTTTTTTAAACGAATTTTTAGAACATATTTGTTAAAAAATATTGAATTATATTCGTATGTTTTTATATTGTATTTTTTTCGTATCGTATTTTACTAACTATGATACCGTGTATATTCATTTACTTTATAAAGTTAGAAAATTAAAGTAATCAATAATATTATTTTTTTAATTATAGTACAAAAATGATAAAATATGCCTGTACCAACTCTAAAATGCTGCCTCGCCTTGTTAAAAGGTGGGCTCACAAGCATGCTGGCCAAAACACTCGCGGCACATGCAGCAAGTGCTTCGGTTAATCAAATGGGTCCCGTGATTCATTTTTAATTGCATTGAGCCGCCTAAATGTTCTTTTTATTTGAAATGTGCTAAAACAATAGGATCACTTTATTATTGCCATGTCAGAATTATGCTTATCAAAATATATATATTTTCAAAAACTGTGACTGATTCCTCCCAAAAGAGTCTTTTTAAAAACACCACGAGACACTCTTTTTCAAATAAGGAATATTCTAAGAATTAGCATGGGTGAATAAATATTTAGGGTTATCTGTTATTTTTGACCAATTTAAATCAACCTCTTTCAAATTCCTGTTTGAGAAAATTGGCGCCAAAGTGCAGACACTTAAAGGAGAACTCCTTTCCAAAACAGGCAGAGAAGTTTTGTTAAAATCTGTTTAGTCTTCACTGCCTTTATATGTAGTGCATTGTTTCAAGTTACCAGTAAATATTTGCGACCAGATTCGGAGCCAATTTATCAAAATTTGGTGGAGTGGTTCAATGGAAAAGTCAAAAATCTGCTGGATTAAATGGGATCGGATTAACACTCATAAAAAATGTTGGAGGTTTGGGGTTGAGAAATTTGGAGGTGTTCAACTTGGCACTCTTAGCAAAAGTTGCTTGGCGATTAGAAGTGGGTGATGATTCTTTATTTATGAGGATTTTTAAACAGAAATAATTTCCTCGTGTGGATTTCCTTGACTCCACCTGTCCTTCTCGGTCCAGTTGGGTTTGGCGAAGTATTGTGTCGACTAAAGAGCTTATTTCCAAGGGTTTAAGTTGGCGTATAGGTAATGGGGAAAACGTCAATGTTTGGAGTCCTAATTGGCTTCCTGATCCTTTTTATCCTCGTGTTACTACCCCCAGTTATCATAATGGTGTCTCGCAAGTTCTGATTTGATTATCTCATCCAACAAGACTTGGAATTAGTCTTTGATTTGAAGTATTTTTAACCATCGTGATGCCGATTTAATTTTTCAGATTCCTATTTCAGAATTGGTGAATGGTGACCAAAAAGTCTGGGTGCTTCCTCTAATGGAAAAGTCACAGTGCGAAGTGCTTACAGGTTGGCAATGCGAACGTATCGCTACCCTCCATTAACTTTTGAGAAGACTTTTGTTAGCTGTGATCAAGAGTTCTCTACTCTATAAAAGACTATTTGGAAGCTTAAAGTCCGAAGGAAGATTCAACGGTTCATATGGTAGTGCTGCCATGAAAAGTTATCGGTTCTTAGTAATTTAAAGGTGCGGGGTGTGGTTGCAAACGATTGGTGCCCGTTATGTGGTAATCGAGCATAATCGGTTTCTCATCTGTTATGCTTTTACCCCACTGCTAAATTTGTATGGAAAACGTGTCCATTACGGGTTGATTTCGGGTGTGATAGACAACTTACAATGCAGTAGGTATGGATTTTCCTCCATGATTTGGGGGTCGACTTTAGCGAATGTTGCTGACCACTTCTCTTTGGGATCCTTTATTTGTTGGCAGTTGTGGAAGTGTAGGAATGATTGGTTATTACAGCAGGAAGACATGGCACCCTTCTGCAATTTTGGACAGAGTTATGATACAAGGCTTGGTGATACAAAAAACTTCTATCCACTTGACTAATCTTGCTATTTAACCGGTTTTTGGGCATTGGAAAACTCCGGCTATGGGTGTTTTGAAGCTTAATGTGGGTGCATCTTTTTGCCCAAAGTCTAAAGTATGTGGGGGTGGTATGGTGTTACAAGATTATGGTGCGTGGGAGAGCTTTAAAAGTTGCTACTGTTTGTTTCCACAACATTGGTAATGCTGAAGCTGTGGAGGCCATTATTCTTAAGGAAGGTTTGAAGCTCGTGCTAAAATGGGGCTACATTGATTTAGTTGAGATTGAAGGAGACTGTAAACAGATAATGTCTCTAAATCCTACTAATGGTTTGTCGGCTCCTGTATGTAATGATATTCAGTTCTTAATGCAACAATTCTCTCAGTGTTTTTTGTTTTGGTGTCCTAGAGAATGTAATGAGGTAGCCCATGGTTTAAGCAAATAGGCTGCTCAAGGAAAAAGGGATTTTGATTAGGATGTTTGGCCCCTTTGGTTGTTGAACGCCCTCAAGGAGGATTGTAATGTTGTTTGATTTTATGTAATTTGCCTGTTTGCCAAAAAACAAACAAAAAAATTTTTTCGGGTCCCACCGAGAGTTATTTTTGCTCGGCCGTTATTGTTAACGACTCGGCTCCCTTTCCCTCATACGGTGAGAGAAGGGACCCAACCTCCATGCTTAGGTTTAGGCTTTTGGGTCCAAAAAGCACAGTTTTTTATTTATATACTAGTACTATCCAAAGTAAATGCTTGTGGCCAAATTTAATTGAACAATTTGTGACAACCTAAATTCTCTGTTCCCTCTCTCTCTCTCTCTCTCTCTCGTCAGTCGTCATCTTAGAGCATCTCCAACCCACCTGCCATATGGACTACCAATTTAAAATATAGCAGATGGGTTAAAATTAAGCTCTCCAATGGGCTGCTATATCACCTGCCAAAATTTGGCTTTGCCATTTTTAGTGTCAAATCTAGCAAAACAAATAGCAATAGCTATTTGCCTTATTTTGTTGCCTGTAGTCTCTCTCTCTCTCTGCCAAAATCTGCAACCCACCGTCTCTCTCTCGCTCTGCCAAAGTCTGCAACGACCATCTCTCTCTCTCTCATCCATCTGCAACGACCGGCCATTATTGATGGCGATCGGCACTTCTATTGTTTGATTTTTGTATTTTCTTTTCCCCTACAGACCTTGATTAACAATTGTAGAGAGAGATAGGGGCAAGCTTGAGAGTTGAGAGATAACAGCTGAAGCTTGCGAACGGCGAACCCGAACTAGAACAGCGGACGATGGAAACTGAAAGATATGGGTTTTGATTTTTTGAACAATCTAAAATGATACGCCGATATGGGTTTTTATATAGGTAATAGGTTTTGAACTTTGGATCTTGCAGACAGATAGATAAACTGAAATATATGGGTTTTGAACTTATGATTCTTGTAGATTTTGTAGTTTGCAGTTGCAGAAAGAGAGAGAGAGAGGGCAAGTTCTCATACTGGAGAACGAGATAGAGGCGATTGGGGAGGTTGAAATGATTTGCCCTAAAAATATATATATATTTTTAATAATTATATAATCAAATATATATAATATACATATATATATATATTATATATATATATAAATTTCTGAAAAAGAAAAAACATATATATAAAAAAATTAATTCACAAATAGTGGTAAAAAAATTATAAAAAAATTATTTTTTTGTCTTTTTTTGATCAAATATTTTAGATTTTTGCTTCTTTTTAATTAGGTTTAATTTTAGTTTTCTTCTAATGTGTACAACTTGACTTGAAATGTGCCTAATATTAATATTACTGATACAAATATGAATGGTGAAAATGATAGTTAAAAAAGAATGATGGTTGTGTCAAAAAATAACATTTTTCATATAAAATGTATCAGAATAAAATTGCTAAAATATAGCATTGACACTCTAATATCTGTCAAAAGAAAGATGATGTGTCAAAATATAAATTTGTCATTCGAACTTTAGCTTTTAGCATTGGAGGTTCTCTTAGACCATAGGAGGAGTACCAGAATCATAAATGCCACTCCAGAATGTTTAGTTGACCAAGTAATTGTACTCAATCAGGTTGTTGGAGAAGAATCTCAACTTGTGATAAAAGTGGTTGTGTCCACCTAGAAAGAGAAAAACAAGTCTCTAATCTAACATTCTGCAGGAAAGGAAAGGAGGAGGAGGAGGAGGAAGAAGAAGAAGAAGAAGAAGAAGAAGAAGAAGATAATGCCATGTGAGTGATTTTTTTTCTGTTCTTTTTTGGTTTGATAGTAATGAATTCAATTGCGTTTTTAGTTCATGATGTATAGTGGTGTGGTAGTATAGATTAATGGGTATTTCATGCGACGGAAAGAGTTTTACAACTGACTCAGAAAATGTTGGGTTCACATTTTTGGTTCAGAGTTAAAAGAGCCACATCATATAAGATGGACTTTGAGATCAGACGATAGATATATATATAGAGAGAGAGAGAATGTGTTTATTGTTGCTCATTAAACAGAAAAGTAAATCAAACATACACACAAGAAGAAGAAGTCAAGAACACACATATCCAGTTGACCCAAAAATTAGGACTAAGTTGTAGGGATTTCACTGTGAGAAATTACCGGAATACCCCTCAAAAAAATTCAGGCATGGTCTACAATATCATGCATAATATCTCTCAGCTCCACAATACCCATCATTTATGATACTTTTTTTTTCGAAAGATACCATCATTTATGATACTTGTGGTAATTGAATCATTTACCATAACTGTGTCTCATTCCATTTTGCAACTACAATCAAATCAATGTTGTGAATATTAATGACAATTTTTGGTTATTTGGAGTTCAGTCTTTTAATTGTGTTGATTTTCACAAATTAAATTTGCTCTTTGGCCTTTTATTTCTTTCTTCATCCTTTTTTTGTTATTTTTTTTTTGTTGTTGGTGAAAGTTGGTAAAGTATTTCTATGGTAATCAGTCCTTTTCATGTGATGTTAGTGGTGGAAGAATCTTTTTTTCCTTTCTCTTCATTGTTTACTAAGTCAATGTTGGTCCTCCCTGTACATAGATTTTATGATTTAATCAATTACTGAAGTGATGGGTATGATGTTTTCTTTTTCTTTCTTTTTTCTTTTGAAAAAATAGTGTTAAGTCTAGTGCAGGACCTGAAGGTTGTGAAATTTAAATAAGGTTATTGATCTTGATGCAATTCAATGATTCAAACAGATATCTGACCTTAAAAAAGAACAAGAAAACGCATTTGGGAGCACATTGGTAATATATATGATTGGACTCAAGCATAGCCTTAAACATTGGTAATCTGTTACCCTGCTCAATGAGGAGGTCACATCATCTGGAGGGAAAAGATGTTAGTTTCTCCGTTTAACTAAGATTGGTCTTCTTTCCGCTTTTGGCAAATGGCAATGTCATGATGTTTGCCTATGGTTAACAAGTATGGGATACAAGGTTCTTCACTATCCCACCGTATTTCGTGCTATGGAATATTTAAATTGTGGGATGGAGTATGTAGAATGCATGTATATGATGATGTCAAACAATTTGATAAATGTTGAGTAAGTAGCCAAAAGTATGTGAAATACGATGTTAATCGCATAATTTAGTCATTGATTATGGAATTGAGAGGGTACTGATGTTTTGATATAGAAGCAAATGGTCCTTGCACCTTTCTATTCACTATTCTAAATGTCAAAGATACCCCGACCCCCCTTTTTATGTGTTCGTGTGTGTGTGTGTGTGTGTGAGTAAAGTAAATGAAGTGTGGCCATGCAATGCTACAATATACTTTTCTTTTCCAGGCTCCAGCTGAACCGTCGTAGTTGGAATAATCTGCAAAAGCTATCCTGTTAAAGTCAATTTTGTTCGTTCTTGAAGTTGCCTAATGTAGTATTTTAATCATTTATTGAAGCTCTTGATCCACTTTTGGGCTGTTGTTTCACTGAGTACCACCGAACTATTGCTTGCAGCTCTGTTCATGTCTTGGTCCATCTTTACAGTTCTGTTATTTTCACTGTTGTCTTCCACTTCAAGCCTTAATGATGCTCCAACCAAATCCAGACGCGAGGTTATTACAGCAAATCATGGTGTTGTTGCCACTGATGATGGCCGATGTTCCAGAATTGGTAGGGATGTCCTTCGGGAAGGAGGTCACGCTGTTGATGCGTCAGTGGCTGCCGCTCTTTGCTTGGGCGTTGTGAGCCCAGCTTCTAGTGGCATTGGTGGAGGTGCGTTTATGCTTGTCAGATCAACCAGTGGGAAGGTACAAGCCTTTGATATGAGAGAAACTGCTCCAATGCTAGCTTCTCAGGTACTCAGATTGATTAATGTCTTCCTTCCTTTCATTTGGTTTCACAAATGAGTCTAAATACATGATCTTTGAGGTGCCATATTTACGTGTTTAATTGGTTATTATGAAGGATAATAAATTAAAGAATAATCTCTTTTGGAGGTGATCGGTACCAAATTCGCAGACCATCAGATCTTTAGTTGTTATTCTATGATATTATCTCCTTTTTTCCCGCCAAATCAAAACAACAATTTCTTGTATACCCAGTCCAATGTTCATCAGGGAAATACTCTGCAGGGTCATCATGAATCTGTTTATTCAATCTACAACTCTCTTTCAATACATGTGTACCTTAGCAGTGGAAGATCTCAGTGGACAAAGGCTTTGACCTGGAAGATCCACCTAATCAAGTTAGCCTGGTTGTATGACTCTATCGTTGTGACCATTTCATTTAACTGCTTACCATGCTTATCCATTTACTGAATATAATCCAATGGTTAAGTCCCATACTATCTTTTGGTTTGGATGCATCTTTGTTAGTGCCAGTTGAGCCTAATCCATGCCCCCCAACCCCAAGAAAAAAAGGAAATGAGTGGGCAGATTTTGGCATAAGGTATGTAAAGTGAAGCAAAATTATTATTAATTTGGACAAAATTTTGTTATCTTATATTTATAAAGCAATTATCCGTCTATTTCTGCACATTGGCTGCATTGATTATCAAAGATGACATTTTCTGAATGTTTTCCTATATGAAGGAAGGAATACTTCAAACACCTTTCTGGTTATATGGGATTCAAAAAACATTGACATTAAGTGATAGCTGATACATGTTTGTAATACTCAAGTGAGTGCCTCTGGTACTAATAATATATATAGGATCACTGCCTTTTAGGGGCCATTGCTTCGTGCAATGGTGAAATGATCAGGCCAACAAACATGAGATTGCGAATTCAAGTCTAAGAGCAGTTATGCAAAATATTCCAAAGATTAGGCTTCTCCCCAGTCCACCCTTCCCCTGCAAACCACTTAGGCAAGACCAACATTTTAGCAATGGCTTTTACCTTGCAACTTCTCTTGGTTATTGATCTTATTTTTTATAGTGCTTATCCAACTACCTAAAATATTCTCAAGTCAATCATTTTCCATACCATTCCTTTTTAGAATATGTACGCGGGAAATGCAGCTCTGAAAGCTAGTGGTGCCCTTTCCGTAGCAGTTCCAGGGGAACTTGCAGGCCTTCACAAAGCTTGGAAACAATATGGAAAGCTTCCATGGGAGAGGCTTGTAAGGCCAGCTGAGCAGCTTGCACAGAAGGGATTCAAAATATCACCATATCTCCATATGCAGATGGTAAGAACAGAGTCGGGTGTCATTGCAGACGAGGGACTTCGCCACATATTCACGTCAAACGGGACCCTCTTGAAACCAGGCGATATCTGCTACAATAAAAAATTAGCACAAACACTCAGAGCAGTTTCAAAATATGGATTGAAAGTCTTTTATAATGGAACAATAGGACTCAATTTGATTAGAGATGTCAGGAAAGCAGGAGGGATACTGACAATGGAGGACTTGAGGCAGTATCAAGTTAAACTGAGAAAACCAATCTTTGCAGACATTCTGGGGTTCAAAATACTCGGTTTTCCTCCTCCTTCTTCTGGTGGTGCAGCAATGGTACTTGTAAGTGTATCTCTTCATTCCCTTTTTCCCTTGGTTTTTGAGTGGAATGCTTTATAAAAAGGCTCACACGACGCTCCCCATTTGCATGTACTGCCACAGATACTGAATATTCTTGCTCAATATGGATTTCCTGTGGGTGTTTCTGGCCCCCTCGGGGTCCATCGAACGATTGAAGCATTGAAGCATGCATTTGCTGTCAGAATGAGTCTTGGTGATCCTGATTTTGTTAATATTAATGAGGTTTTATCTGATATGCTATCTCCAAAGTTTGCAGCAGAGTTTAAGAAAACCATAAATGATAATATGACTTTCAGTCCAGGTCATTATGGTGGCAGGTAAGCACCTTTATTGCTAATAAAATTGATCATCCGATATATAGCTATCATTTATTTATTTATTTGAGATGGTGTGTCTGAATAAAGGAACTTGTGCATGCATGTGTTTGTATGCATAGAGTTTAAATTTGATGGATGCTGCTTAGAGGTTTCATGTAACATAGAATGACCATATTGAGCCAATTCATTGTCAAATCATGGCAATTTTGATTGCTTCAGTCATTCCAGTGAGAAGACTACAGTGATATTTTAGAGGAATCATATTATAAATGGCTATTGTGTTTGCACGTATTTTGATTTAAAAAAAGGAAAAGAACATGTAGCATTGTCATTCTTTTTGTTGAAGTAAATTCTGATTTCAAACTTATATTCAAATGATTATTGACTATTGAATTATTGTTGCATCTTGGATGGTGAGCAAGACTGATGTGCTTGTGTGCCAATCAGCCTAATCTCTTCTTGATTATGAATATATGGTAAATTTTAAGCATAAATATCAATATGACCAATAAAGCACACACAACCAGCACAGAGTGTTTGTGGAGTAAGGGACTTATCTTTATTTGCCCTTCAGTAATCCCATGTGTTATTCTAGGTCAAATTCCAAAACAATAGGATATCGTCTCCCAAGTTATTTATTCTTTTCTTTTGAGCCACTGAAAGTTTGCGGCAAATTTCTACAGAAAGTTCTGCAATCACTTTTTTTTTTTTTTTATGTCCTCTTTTCTATGAGGTCTTCTTGGAAGAGTTGTTTCACTTCATAGTAACTATAATATGCCTAGTGTGCCCCTTTTATTATGCTCGCTAATCACTTTTTGTTGAAACTCTGCTTCTTAACAGGTGGAATCTGATCCATGATCATGGCACCAGTCATCTGTCCATTGTAGATAGTGAGAAAAATGCTGTTTCAATGACTACCACTGTAAATGCATACTTCGGAGCACAATTTCTGTCACCAAGTACCGGGATAGTCCTTAACAATGAAATGGACGATTTCTCCATCCCTGCAAAAGCTTCTGCAGATGTCCGACCACCAGCACCAGCCAATTTTATCCGTCCATCCAAAAGGCCACTGTCATCTATGTCACCCACTATTGTCCTAAGGGTAACATTTATTGCTCCTTTCCGTTAATTGGTGACTGGTGCCCAATACCTTCCTGAAACTTTGAAAGCCAATATCGTGCTCTGTCTAACAAGGAAATATTGTGTTGGAATATTTATCTGGCATCATAGTTATGATTGTATGGTCTCTCTCTCTCGAGAGTATTATGTTTATTGTTCCATTCAAACTTTTTCTGTGTCTTGTTTATGCCTTTACAGGGTGGAATCCTGAAAGCTGTTATAGGCGCAAGTGGAGGCAGCATGATAATTGCTGGGACTACAGAGGTATTCTTGAATCATTTTGCCAAGAGAATGGATCCATTCTCTTCTGTCATGGCTCCAAGATTCTATCATCAGGTCACTATCAAAAACTCATTTACTAGAGCATTTTTTTTTTTTTAATTAAATTTTAAAATAGCCGTTGAAGTTTCTAATCTGGCACAATATTGTGGTACCTGCAGCTGATTCCAAATGTGGTACAGTATGAGAACTGGACAACTGTTATTGGTGACCACTTCGAACTTCCTGCAGAGACAAGGGCAGCCCTACAAAAGAAGGGCCATGTCCTACAAAGCCTTGCTGGTGGAACTATTTGCCAGTTTGTAGTTCAAGACTTGGAGCCTTCAAAATTGGGGAAACTTATGGCAGTGAGCGACCCAAGAAAGGGTGGCTTTCCAGCTGGTTTCTGAATTTCTGGGTTGATTTTAGAGGATTAATTTCTTATACATTCAACTGTTTTACGGATAAAATTCTCATTTGTTTTCATTGACACAATGCATGCACTTGGCAGAATTTGTTTCCCCATTTGGGTAGATATGTAGAATGCTAAATTCGTTTTTAGAATAAATTTATGTTATATATTAAATGATTTTTTCGATTACACAATAGTCTTTGAATGGGCAAGTAGGTGATCACTTGATAAACTATAAACATGCAATAAGAGAAAAATTTGATGTTGTCCCTTATTTGATTTTTCAAGATTGATCAGATCTTACTAGTTTCAAAGCTCCCAGAAGTGAAACAAGGAAAAACCATATGATATATATGTCAGATCAAAATTATATAGAGCTTAGATTACTAATAATAGAGAAGGAGCTCTACTGTGACTATTATCTATATATATACTATAAGAATCCCCTCTTGGAGTTATGTTTGTGTAATTTATAGTATTTTTCTTTAATATAAAATCATAAAAAAAATGGGTTGTAAAAACTTTAATTGAGAAAACAGTACAAATGAATCACATTCTTATTTTTGATTTATTTATGCTTTTGATTTCCCAAATTTTGTACAAAAATGCACAAAATGGTTTGTTTTTACCTAGTAGGGTTCCCGTGAAGGGTTGGCCTTATTTGATTAGTACCAGCGCCAAACTTTCTTTTTCCATAATAAAGGGGGGCTAAGTACAATGACAGTTTGAAGGCATAATGTTGCGCCCCTTTAGTTTGACCAACTGGGCACATTGATTTGAGTTACATTTTCATTTTTATTAGTATATATTCTTGTTGATATATTATTAAATAAAATTTTCTAACTTAAATTTTATTTATTTATTTTTTTCCTGACAAAAAATTCCCACAATCAAACTTTCGCATTCCACATTAACAATAAAATAAAATTTTAATTTCATCAATTTAAACTTGAATTAGACCCTACTAATTCACACAATCCATTTGAGTTGCAACCTAACGTGCTATGAAAATAGCATAAGTTCTGTACAATAGAGTCACAAATCACAATAATTACTGCGTAATTAAAGTAACAACCTGGACTAATCCTGTAATTAGAAGGCACAATGAAGCCCGCATTAAAAAAAAAAAGAAAAAAAGATACATCCTCTGCGAAGCGAATCTTTCCGTCACCAAACGCTGCTCACTTGCTCAGTCAGCATACAACTCAGATAAGTTAAACAAATGCAAATTCCACGCCATTCTCTGCCCCATTTCCCCATCATTGGTCACCAAAACTAAGACCTATATACATATTCACACACTCCGTATATATTTTGTGGTATTGGAGATCTTTTGTGGGAGTGAACTCTGTACTGTAATCGGCCATGGCGTTGCAGAGAAGTCTTCTGAGACGAAGCTTGGAAGCAGCGAAAGAGAAGTATTTGTACAGTCTCTCGCTTCGTAGCTTTTCATCCGCTTCTTCTTCGGCCCAGCCTTCTTCGGATCAGCCTGAGCTGCCTCCTTTCGATTACGAGCCGAAGCTGTACAAAGGACCGTTAGCCGATGAAGTCTTTCAGAAGCGCAAGAAGTTTCTTGGCCCCTCTCTCTTCCACTACTATAAGAAGCCTGTAAGTATCTCTCTTTATATACAAATTACAATATATGTATGTGTGTGTGTGTGTAAAAATACAGTGCGTGTTTGAGGAATTACAAATTTCAATGCCTTTTGAGTATTTCTGGAAATTGATTGCTGAATGACGCCAAATCAAGAGTTGTAATGGGCAGTACTGTTATGATGACATGATTGCTCTAATCCAAGTGTATGTAGGGTTTTTTCTTTGGATCATTGTTGTTTAATTGATGAATCAATATTGCAGGAAAAGTAGAAGACAGAGAAATTGTGCATATGTTGTTTGATTTTTTGGGAGTCTGTATATTTCTAAATTAGAAGCAATATTTTATCTGGAAAATTATTGCTCTTGTATTTTAAAGAGCATGTTTCTTCTGATATAATCATAAGAAACAATCAACATCATGATTATTGCAGTATGGTGTCGTGTTAGTGGTTGTCTGTGATGTTCGTCTGCAATAGATATAATCATGATCCTAAAAAACAAGAAGTCAGAAACAGAGCCACGGAATGGAGATTTTACAAAGCATGCTATAAAATGATATGAAATTCAGCAGCTATTAAGAGAATTCTGAAAAGTAAAGCAAAACCCAGATTATTAATTGAGGAAATTAATCCAACGTTGTTTGTACTGTGGCCTGATTCCCCAAAAAATTACAAAAATTGAAATTAAAGACTGAATGTAGTACTTTACAGAGAATAGATGAACTGATATAATGGAAAATGAAATTTAGCAGCTATTGAAGAAATTCTTTAGAAAATTAAACTTCTCATCAGAATTACTCATAATATTGTAATATTGCACAAAATCAAAAGCAATAAAGGTATTATTAGAAAATGGCATAATTATTGGAGTATTAGTATGGGAATATGAGAAAAATAAGCAATAAATAATGAAATCTGATTCTTGGGGTACCTGAACTAAATTTTCCAGTAGTGATAGGGCTTTGGTTACTAGAAAGAGAAGCAAAGCAAATCCCCTTATGAATCTCCCTGTGCTACACTTTCTGCTTCTCTTGGATCTTATTCGGAGACAGATACAGGCATAGTTTTACTCCCTGCGAAAAACCGAGTGGACAGAGAATACAATTTTATTTGGTTGATGATCAATGGTCTTCAAAGCTCTGCTTTATATTAATCTTCTTCAGAATCAGCCTCTTCATCTATTTGCTTCTTTTTTATTCTATACTTTTCCTGACCATGACTATTGACTATGCTCTATAGTTCATACATATGTGTATAAATATATACACCCAGAATTTGTTAAACAGCCGTGTAAATGGTTTATCTTGGACTAAGGTTGTATACAACAGTGTAAATTCTGGGTTTCCCCATTTACACAGCAGTAAATGGAAAACCCAGCATTTATAATTTTATACTACTATTCTGCAATAAACCCATAATTTCTCCAGCTCTTCTATACAATGACTTGGTCTTGCATGCATAATTCTGTATATTCTGCAATTTAAAACCATGTACAATATATGTGAAATATACATACACACATATATATACACACATGTATGAACTGAAAAAGCATAGTCAATAGTAATGGTTGAGAAAAGTATAGAATAATAATAATAATAATAAAGCAAATAGATGAAGAGGCTGACTCTGAAGAAGATTACTAAAGAAGATAAAAAAGCAGAGCTTTGAAGACCATTGATCACCAACCAAATAAGATTGTATTCTCTTTCCACTTGACTTTTTGGAGGGAGTAAAACTATGCCCGTATCTGTCTCTGAATAAGATCCAAGAGAAACAGAAAGTGTTGCGCGGAGAGATTCATATGGGGATTTGATTTGCTTCTCTTTCTAGTAACCAAAGCCCTTGCACTACTAGCAATTTTAGTTTAGGTACCCCGAGATTCAGATTTCAATATTTATTTTTCTCATTTTCCCCTACCAATATTCGATTAATTTTGTCATTTTCTAACAGTACCTTTATTGCTTCTGATTTATGTGCAATATTACACTAATATGAATAATTCTGATGAGAAGCTTAATTTTCTAAAGATTTTCTTTGATAGCTGCTAAATTTCTTTTTATATTCACATTAGGTCACCTATTCTCTGTATGGTAGTACATAAAAGTTCCGTCTTGATTTCAATTTTTGTAATTTTTGGGGGATTAGGCCATAGTACAAACAACATTAAATTATTTTTCTCAACTAATAATCTGGTTTTGCTTTTTCAACCTGCTACTGAAAAAATAAAATAATAATCTGGTTTTGCTTTACTTTTCAGAATTCTCTTCATAGCTTCTGAATTTCATATCATTTTGTCGCATGTTTTGTATAATCTCTATTCAGTTGCTCTGTTTCTGACTTCTTGTTTTTGGGAACCATGATTATATATTGCAGCAGGAATATTACAGACAACCACTAACACACCATGATTAAACTGTAATTTTTTATTTTCTAGCTGCTCGTGCTGTCAATGAAATTTTTTGGTTTCCTTCTGCATCCTTTGTTCAAATCCTTCTCCGATGTCTTATTTTAGTTTGAATGACAATTATTAAGTACTTATCTAACATGTCACTGCCCTTCCGTGTGTGCATGCACATGTGTGTCTGTGTGCTAGTGCATGCACGTGTGTGCCTCTCTATTCGTTTTTGTGTGTGTACCAGCATCTGCATACGTGATGATGTGCATGAACTCTGGTGGTTTGGCATGGAAACTTCTTTAATGATTTGTTCTATTTAGAGATATCAAGACGGTTTATTTTTATATTTTCTTGAGGTTCATTATTACAAAGCGAGACTTCAATTGTAGACATTGGACCTCTAAATTTAGTTACTTTAATTAAGTTGATATGGGCAAAACCCCATATGAGCGTAACTCCTTTGTTGAGTAATGGGTTTGGTTCTCCTGAAACTATTTAAACTCATATTGTTTAGTGCATGTGATTCTACTTTAAAAGTGTTACTTGAATGTAAAACATTATCACATCTTTTATTCATATACTACATAAAATATTTCTGTTACTGTGCCTAAAACTTTGTGTTGCCTTTTGTACTTTCATCTCAATCTAGAATGTTGAATTCAATTAAGATATGGACTGAACTCGTCAGACAAAAGAGAGAGAATAAAAGATATGGACAACTTCAATGTACATTGTAAATTTGACAAATATAAGAATCCCTTCTTTCAAACAATTTCTGATTTTATGTTTTCATTATTTGTGTAGCTCAATATTGTTGAAGGGAAGATGCAATATTTGTTTGATGAGAATGGAAAACGCTATCTTGATGCATTTGCTGGGATTGTAACTGTGTCTTGCGGTCATTGCCATCCTGAAATTTTGGATGCCATCATTGAGCAAAGCAAGCTCCTTCAGCATGCTACAACCATATACTTACACCATGCAATAGCTGATTTTGCAGAGGCATTAGCATCTAAGATGCCTGGAAACCTAAAGGTACATTCTCTATAATCTCAATCTTTATATAGCTACCATGTTATGAAAGTTATTGAATGTAGAGCATGTGAAGTTTGTACCACCATACAAGAAGACATGTTCAAATTTTATTGTTAACTTATAGATATTGAGAATTATTTAGTCATATATGCCACAGCAAAAACATTCGCCTTTATAATTATATGGGTGATGGGTGCAATTTCCACCCTTTCATTATCTAATTTTCTCCTCTCTTTTTCTTTTTCCTTTTCAATTTAATGGAGCAGTAATGCCAATTTAGTGAACTATAGGATGCTTCCTTGGAAGTTCTATCTGTTAATGCATTTATCAATCAGGAATATTTCTCTAATCATGACTACTCACCTTGGGAATGCAGGTTGTGTATTTTGTAAATTCTGGGACAGAAGCAAATGAATTAGCAATGCTGATGGCGCGTCTATACAGTGGTAGTCTTGGTATGATTTCCTTGAGAAATGCATATCATGGTGGAAGTGCAGGTACAATTGGACTGACTGCTCTTAACACGTGGAAGTATGAGATACCACAGGTTTGTTTATTCCCTGATGCTCATGTATCCTGGGACCATGCTGGCTCCGTCCCTAATTGTTGACACTTTTGCACTCCCACTTCTATAATGAAATCTTTTGTTTTTTTTTCATGCTTTCTGTGATTCAGCTGCCCTTAGAAAGTTCAGTTCTTTCCATAGAGTTTCAAGGCTATGTTAAAGTGGGCTTCAAATGCCAGATTCTAGGCTAGGTCCTTTTGATTTTGAAATGCAAACTGAAGCTCCCTCATTATGTTACATGGACATGGGTTCCACTATTTTATCCATGAAATCCACATGGGTGCTCCATGGCAGCAGAGCTTCATTATTTCTGTTTTTGTGTTATTTCATTTAAGACAATTTTAAGCTTTTTGCCAATGAAAAAATAAATAAATAAATTAAGCTTTGTAAAGCTTTCAATTCTCCTTTCCTTTTTCTTTTTTCTTATATATATGCGTGTGTGTGTATATCATGGAGGGTGTCCCCGTCCCCTTTGGGGGCGGGACTAATCCCTTCGAATACCCGCAATCACTACCAAACCAGGAGTATCGGATAAGCCAGGGCAGAGGCTTGACACCTCCGGGAGTTGAACACAAGACCTTTGGGATATGCTTAGAGGCCTTATGCCAACTCAGCTACCCTGTGGGGGTTACGCTGCATTCATGGGCAAAATAATAGTGACTGGAAAGATGGTTGTTTGTAAAACGTGTTATTTCTTTTTGTGTCTACCTCTTGGGAATAAACGCGCCATCAGCATTTCCAATAACATTTACTCGAATTGACTTTTACTTTTAATCTTATTGACTATTGAACCCATAAATTATTTTTCCTTGTTCTTAAAATTATCCTAACAATAAGAGAGAAGTCAAGAAAAGAAGTTGGATATATTATTGATCATTTGCTGCCCATCTATCAGTGACATACAATAGTTGTAGAACGATTAAGAAGTGAAAAGATCCTTCTTAGCTACCTACCAAATTCACCTCCTTGCTCTTGAAACAATAACTGGTTTTTTATGCATCAATCTGATAACCATCTCATTGGCACAAGTACCTACTCTCTAAAGTATGCAAAATTTTCCCTTTATTCATGTAATACCTTTTGGGAGTGAGATTGGGCCCACTGTTCAGAAAGGGGCATGCTGTAAAATTGGACCCTAGTGTGAATTTCATATGCTGAGGACCATTTTTTGTTCTCTTATCAGGGCAACTATTCTAGAATTCCCTTTGTTTATCTTCAAAAAGCAAGACTTACAGTACTTACGACTTGACTTCCTCAAATTGCTATGGGACTTTGCAGGGCGAAATTCATCATGTTATAAATCCAGACCCATATCGTGGAATCTTTGGTTCTGATGCCAGTTGTTATGCAAAAGATGTTCAAGATCATATTGATTTTGGTACTTCGGGAAAAGTCGCTGGTTTTATTGCTGAAACAATTCAGGTTTGTGTAAAATTCCTTCTCTAATCAGGTGCATGATTGGGAAAATGCTATATTTATATGGCATTTTCTTTTTGTGAAACTTTAGGGAGTTGGAGGAGCAGTTGAATTAGCCCCTGGATACTTGAAACTGGTTTATGATATTGTACGCAAGGCTGGTGGTGTCTGCATCGCTGATGAAGTGCAAACTGGATTTGGTCGCACAGGAAGCCATTATTGGGGTTTTGAAACACAAGATGTCATTCCTGATATAGTTACCATGGCAAAGGTCTCCACTCATCCCTTCTAGTTTTGTTAATTCTGAAAAGCATTCAAGCGTGATATGGTATTTCGTATTTTCCTATTTTGGGCTAATTTTAGTGTTTTTTATTTGTTTATCCTGGAAAGCATCAAGGCATGATACAGTATTTCGTAGGTCTCACCAGTATTTTATTTTTTTGGCGGGTACCTTCATTTATCTTGTACTATAGTTCCATTAAATTTCATGAATGGTACTTATCAGGGTATCGGCAATGGTTTACCATTAGGAGCAGTGGTGACAACTCCGGAAATAGCAAATGTAATGGCTCAGAAGATTCAGTTTAACACCTTTGGTGGAAACCCAGTATGCTCTTCTGGTGGACTTGCAGTGCTCAGAGTTCTTGATAAGGAGAAGCGTCAAACACATTGTGCTGATGTTGGGTCTCACTTGATAGGGCGTTTGAGAGATCTCCAGCAAAGACACGAAAGTAATTTCTCATTAATTTTCTAACTTGAGATTTTTAAAAAAAATTTTTTTTCCTGAATATTTATTAGTTTGTTATGCTGTGACCTTCAAAATGTGTCAAAGGAAGCAATTCACAGTGATTGGTAATTGTGTGGTTCTCCATACATTTTTGTTTTCTGATTCACGCTGAAGATTGCATGGTGATGGTTCTAGTTGTTCTACGCTCCTACTAGTTGAAATTTCTTCTCGTATTCATAACATAATGGAGTATCCCTCATTAGTATTCTTGATGTTAACAACATCCTGCATTTATACAAGTAGAATTAGCATGCATTTACTTTGATTTGTGAATCTCAGGCACTACTCTCCGGCTTGTTAGATTTGAGGTGTTTCCTAACTTCTTTTTTCAAATTAGATTTTCTTTATTTACCTGTGTCTTTTTAGGACTCAGCGACAGAATTCTCTAATTTAAAGATAGGATGGTCCTCAGTTTTGAGTATCACAATTCTATGGAACCTAAGAACTTAACACTTATTGTTGTGTCTAAATGAACCATAAGCAATATAATGCTTTGTGTCATCACATAGCATCAATGCTTGACTGGTGAGATATTCGGATGAGGTTGTAGATTATGGGCTCCTTGAATCATTATTTGCATACCGTAATATGGCTGAAAGGATGTTACTATGATCAAGGGATGCCAAGGCTAATTAGTATTTAGGTTTAACAAAAATGTCTTCCTTGGCTAAGCCATTTGCCAGTGACTTTTCATGACAAAAGAAGTCTAAAACAATCTGACATCTGATTCTGACTATCCTTTGATTGGTGAACTTTTTGTCATCTTACGATAAGTAATTGTGCAACATCCACTATTTTGGAATTATGTGGTATATAATTGATGGTCCTTCTCATATATGTTTAATCATGTTGCTCAGTCATTGGAGATGTGAGAGGCAGGGGCTTAATGGTGGGGATAGAACTCGTGACTGACAGGAAGGAGAAAACACCTGCCAAGGCAGAAACTGCAGTTTTGTTTGAGAAACTTAGAGGTATGTGAATACTATTGGACAACTGAAACCAAATCTTTTAGTTAATTTGCACAGAATTTCTTGCCAAAATATTAATCACTTAACCATTCATAAATATAGAGCTTGGTGTTCTAGTCGGGAAAGGGGGCCTACATGGAAATGTTTTCAGAATAAAGCCACCCATGTGTTTCACCAAAGACGATGCAGGTATTCTTTTTCACTTTACAATGTTAACTAAACCTTTTGACTTTGCAAACTTGAGAACTAAAACTAATTCCACAAATGAATAATACTAAATCACAGAAAGACGGCTTCCAAAGAAGAACAGTTCTTTTACTGAACAAGTTATATACTAATATGCTTCAATATTTTTAATTTCAAATATTTAATTATTTGGTAAACCAATGTCATCTGTTACGAGCATTTAAATGTTGTCATATGTTCAGATTTCTTGGTCGATGCTTTAGACTTTGCAATGTCAAAGTTATGAGAATCTATCCACAAAAAGCCGGCTATGTCATATCAAAGTTACGAGAATCTTCCAACAAAGAGCCAGAAATGATTCTGAAGTCTTCAAGTCCTTTCACAACAACCACAGCAAAGAAGCTGATCTTCTGAGGCATAACTCACTATGAAGACACTGGAGCTTGATGCCAAAGATGAGTAACTGCAGCTTCTTCTGCATTACATTTAAATAGGCAGAAAAATTTTCAATTCTGAAATAAAAATACTGATGTAGCACTGTGTATGTTCATCTTATTGACCAATGTGCTGCTGAGAAAATGAACTTGGAAGTTGGATCACATTAATTGGGACAAGGCAAACAATTGAATGTGTTACATTTCTCAGAATTCGGTTGTCGGAATGAGACTCGTTTCTAGTGTACAAACCAGAAGAGGTAGAAGAAAAGACGCTCTGTTAGAATCAAAGTTTCATAATAGGTTTAGTAGGTTAAAAAAAGGTTGAGCTATCAAACAAACTTGCTGGTCAAATATCCTAGAAATCTATGATGGTGAAGAGTATGAGATGGTAAAGAGAAGGCATAAAAGATTGAAAATGAAGAAAGAAAATTAGAGTGAAGGAAAGGCGAAAGTCTAGGCAATGACACCTAGGGTTTTAGGCACCAAGGGAAGTGGGAACTGCAGCACCATAACTAGTAATAGTGTATTTCAGTCTAATTACACAAATCCACGTGATATTGTTCCAAAACAAGTATTGCTAAATTGCTCCTAACAGACGAATTCCAATATCAGAAGATGATGCCTTGACCTAGGCATGCAGCCCAAATTACAAATGGTAAATAGCAAAATAAACAACCAAATCCAACAGATGAATTCCAATGCAAAAACAAAAACTAACCTCAGAAGGAAGCTTACAATACACAAACAATACCCCAGGAATATTTCACACGTTGTATCCCGCCCAATGCAGAGTCATGGGCAAATTGAGAGTTTTTATGACTGTGCATTGGGCGGGGGGTACCACGTGTAAGTACCTCTAGAGTATTGTATATTCTCTCAAGCACAAGCAAATTTAAATGTTCAAGCTTATTATATACTTCACTGAAAAGACACTAATATTTGAAAGAAATCGGATGTATATAAGGAACTTCGTTTTAATCAGATATGGTTTTGATAGATGATTTTAAGCACAAGCAAATTCTAATTCTGTCAGAATTGTTTTATTTCTGGATTTTCAGATTATCACAATATACATAGCCTCCAATGTATTGAAATCTTCCTCCCTTTTTTTCAATTTTTATCTTGCAAGGTGACAATCAAATGACCAACTATTTCCAAAGAATACATTTTTATCAGTAACTTTAATCAAATACTGAACAAACACTGGGAGTAAAAGTAGACTCATAATGATCATTATATTTACCTTTGTTGTTCTATTTCGGTTTTGTTGGATATATACATTAGAGAGGTTACATGTAGAATTACTGTGCTAATGGTTAGTTAATTAGGAGTGGGGAAGGAGGGTTGAAGAACTTAAATCTGCCAAGCCATACTCTTGGACTCAAAATATTTGGCAAATTAAATTAGTAACATGGAAAATCAGTACCCAATACTTACAATAAAATAAAATGAAATGAAAAATAAGGCCAGTATTTAAGAGGTGCAGCAATCAAAGATGTTTTGCAAACATACTCTGGAGGATGAGGTTCCACAAAAGATAAATGAAATTTGAAATTCGACAAAAGATAAATGAAATTCGAAATGCTATCTTCCGATCAAAAGCGTCAAAACAAATCAGTTCTTTTGCTCCTCTTGACTTTAATTATTTCCTGAGCATGTGCTCATTTCAAAAGCATGTAGGAAGTACTTTGTACAATATACATTTAAATATCACCAACACTCAGAATAAAGGAGACCACTGTATGTCACAATTTACATTCCATCTGCAAATTCAAATTCAAGACTCACAAATTCCTCCCAAGACAATATAATGTACAACACTAAAAATTAATCCAATTACAAACTTCTCTTGATAAAATAAATAGTCTATCTTATCATGGTTATGGCTTCTCAATCGTGGAGGCTGCTCGAAAATGTCGGCTGCTAAGATTATGTCCATGTATGCTTATTTACATTTACAAGAGGGTACGTGTGGCTGCCGAAGCATGGTTCTAGGCAACTGACTGTTCCACAAGGAATTGGGAACGTGTACACCCATTGAATGACTAGGCAGGCTCATGAAGGCGATCAGCCCAAAGCGAACTTAAATGCCTCAGGCGTGAAAAGTACTCCCCCAGTGCCAGCAGGCCTCGAGCTGCTTGGCGCGTAGTAAGGATGCTGGACATCCGTCGCAGGGTTTCTTGGCGAAGATGATCTGCCTGTCCACAGAAAGAAAAAAAAACAATAACATGTTGGTAAAATGTTTAGAATGTCAAGCTACAATCTCTTACTACATCTAAAAAGTAGTAATCATAATCTTATATAAGAAAAATTCACCATAATGTATGTGACCTATTGTGGGCAACTTTCTGTTTGTTGTGCTGTGCCTGCATTTTATTTGTGTTTTTGTTGCTTTTCTAAGTATGAAAATCATCAACTAGTCACCAAAAAGTAGTATTTATTATTGCACACAATAATAAACTTTGCAAGGTGCTATGAGATGCTCCCAAATAAGAACACATGCCACTGATGTGTGCACACACATATAATTATAAGTTGTGCACAGATATTAAGTAATGAAGTAGTCGAACATAGGAGTTTAAACAATTGGGCACTGATGGACTAGATACCTGGTTATGTAAGAAGATATTCCCAAGAGATGCTCACAAACAGATCCTTTCTTAAAAAAAGTAGTACAAAAGGTAGAAATAGAATTGAGTAGTTTCAAAGAAGAACAAATATGCCATATTTGTTGTTCACGAACATAAATCCTCCTTCAGATAATGAAATAAAACCAAAATGTTCAGTTCATGCAACCCAGCTTATGATAGGTTTTCATCTCATCAGTGTACAAAATACTAAACCCAGAATTATTCATTAATCACACGTTGGTAAATTTGAATTTATCTAGGGCGAGACTAAAATATTTATCTTTTAAAATAAAGCAATAAAAATTCTTTCAACATCTTCTAACAGGGAATGAGTCTTGAACCAATAATAAAAGAAAATTTCTTCTTGATTCAATGGAAACTTGTAATCCATTTAGTAGGAGGGAAGAGTAAGAGGAAGGGGGGTGGAAAAGAGAAAATGGATAGAGTTCTCGTTGTTTGCTTAGAAGGAAAGGAAGAAAAAGGGAACCAGGATCCCTTTGATATGTTAAAAAATAATAGTAAAACAAGTATGAATTCTTTCAATTCTTCCTCCTTTTTTTCATGGTCTACCAATCAAAAGGTGGAAAGTGTGATTTTCTTCCCTAGGGATGCCTTTTTCATCCCTCTTACCTTCCTTTCTTTCCAATTTTCCATCTTTCATACCAAACAAAGCATTTGATGAGTTTCTCTGGTAGTGAAGAAGTCAAAATAATATTAATTAACAAAGGTTTTCCCAATTGATTGCACGGTCTATTTAAAATTAATAAGAAGAAGAAGAAAATAAAATAAAAAACTCTCAGCTGCAGCATTATGATTCATTCCTTTCAATACCACCTAAACCTACAATAAAGTAAACAGATGCAAAATTCACTTTTCAAGAGTCAAAGTCAGGTAAAAAAAAAAAAAAAAAATCACCTTGTTCACAAGAACTCAATAATGCATCTCCATAAGAAGTTTGGAATAATGTGAAAATACTCCATATCTATGACAAGTAACCTATTGTGATTAATTGGCCTTCTACAAAAGACCAAGTTTTGGTAATGAATAATGAACAACTTTAGTAGGCTAAATTTGCGAAAGGTAAAGAATACACGGTACTTTAAGACATCTGTAGTTACTTCCATACTTATGGGAGTGTTCCATTTCCTTTCCTTCAAATCTATTTCATTTATACATCACAGCTCTAACTTACCTTTTACAGCTAGAGGATTACAACTTAATAGAAAGCATTCCTGGTTCAAAGTAATGAAAATATTCATGAAAATTTTCTCACCACAATATAGTTCATTACTTTCATGCTATCAAGTAAGGTTCCACAAACTGATTAAAAAACCATTTCATGGGCAAGCATATGAAAAATTAAAAAGAATCGAAAGAGAATTCAAGATTCCAAATCATTGACTTTAAGGACATGAATTAAAAACCACCAGTGAATAATGATAAAATTTAGATTACCCGATTCACAAAGTTCGCCAGATCTTCCAACAACTGCACCGCAGTAGCCATCTGTGAATTCTGCGGCACGTAACCTACTTCCCCCAGTTGACCAGCTGCTACACTTTCAGCCAGATCGTGCTGGAGTTTTTCCATTCCTTGTGTCAGAGCATCTTCTAGTTGCTGACATGATTGTCTAAGGTTACAAACGTCCAAATATTGTTGGTCCGTCAAAGGGTCAAACTGTGGCAAAAGAACCTGTAATGAACATAAAATTACTTATTAGCACTATTTCATATATAACCATTGAAACATATATTACAATGCCATTAAGACGTACGACAAGAAAACAATTTTAGCTAAACATAAAGCGAAAAGCATAATACAATCCACGCAGTACTATTCTTATACATTAACAGCTTAGAAAAATAAAAGGACCTATCAGATAAATGCTCACGGACAACATCCCCACTACATAAATAAGATTATATGGAAAAATAAAATAAAATTGCATTACGCATTGTATATCCAGCCTAAGGTTAAGTCTTGGCGCAACAGTAAGATTGCTCTATTACAACCTAGAGGTTATGGGTTTGAAATGGGAAATAGTCTCTTTCCATGAGAAGGTAAGGCTCTGTACGTTTGACCCTCAGACCCTGCAATGACGAGAGCCTCGTGCATTGGGTTAGCCCTTTATTGTATATCCAGCCTATGCATGAAAGCCTTCACAAAATGACTGCTCTCAAACTCGAACCCCGTAATCTCACACTTGTCAATCGAACTTTTACCACTGCACCAGCCACCAAGTAGAACCCCATGGAAAAGAATATGCTACCAACATCAATTGTTGTCTCAACAAAATATGTAATTGATCCAGTGCGTGCACGATTGTGTGATAAATAATCACATCTAAGAACAGGTCACATCATTTGTGGGCCCATTCTCTGATGTGGCAAGGTATTGGATGTTAGAATTTGATTGGAACTAGACTCATGCAAAGCATTAATTTTAAAGAAATGCCACTCAACCACCCTATCAAGGCTGTTGAATACTAACTATTAAAGAGAGTACCCTCAATCTTTCCAAGATGTCATCGCGAACTAAAAACATTTGAGTAGAACTGTTTAGAGCCCCTCTCAAGAGCACTCAGTTTCACTCTAATGCTGAAGTTAGGGAAATAGCATTTAAAAAAAAAAAAAAAAAAAGCCTTAACATGAGCTTTCAGTGTACTAGAACAAGTTGTAAGATAATAAAAAGTAATGACACTGCCATGTATGGTTGCCCTAACAATCAGCATGGTTATTTGTTGTACATAATCAGAATTCATTATGACTGAACATATTTGCAAAGCAGCAGCAACAACAACAACAAAGCATAAAAACATGCAGAGTCCTGCCATCAAATGTGCACTAAGACCACCTTTATGATTCTATGTTGTAGATGTCATTCACTTGTGCACAATATTCTTTTCTTTGTTTGAAATTTTTTTTTTTTTTTAAACTCTTAAAACTATCCCTCTGGCAACTCGAATTTTATAGCTCTTGCACACTGTAGAAGGGTTATGATGCATTTGGCATTCCTCTATCAGTCACGAGGACAGGATGAGTGCCTCACACACGCGGCCATCATGGTTTTGCCACCATAGTCGTGCCTTGTGTTGAAATGATCACCCTACAAGGTGCAACAAATAACTCGAAAGGACATTTAAGGGGACTTTCAATGGAAAAGGTCATGCTCAGGGAAGCACATTTACATTGCTTATAGTTCATTGGTTTGGTCGCATGAATTGAATAGCAGCAACTAGTGATTCCGGGGAGGAGTCTGAACTAGTGTGAACATTGTTATTAATCAACTGGTAGATGATTCCAGGGCAGATTTTTCTTGTATAATCTGGATTGTTGAGCTCTAGACTATTCACCGTATTTCTAGGTCCATCTATGAAAATATAATCCAACTGGTTTCTTCCACGTGCACAACCCTCTTTAAATAATACAATGATGGTGTTGCAGCTGTCAATATAACTTTGAATTTTAAACATGCTATGTTGCATATTTTAGAAGTAATTATAGATAGACATGTTAAATTCTTTTTAAACTGCTCTGATACATGTCATATGATCAGTACCTGACATCCTTACAGTGAATAAGAGACACGGCCAAAAATATCAGACAACAAATAATTGTTGACATATTAAATAGCATGAAATGAATTTTAAAACATGATATTATATATATATATATATATATATATTAACCAGGACTTTTAGCAAAGAAAAGAATAGAACAAACAATTATATTGACAAAAAATGAGTACAACAAGCATAAAGAGCACATGCATAACCTGTAAGCACTAGTAAGTAGTAAACTCTCAATAATTTGAATAAGATCCAGATGATCCAATGGTTCAAATTACTAATTGGTTTATAAGATCCAATTGCAATCAAAATGGAACTAAATTTAGATAAACCAATCCAAATTATATTAAATGCATGGTAAGGAAAAAATATACATAAATATCTGTATCGTTAAATAATACTTGTGCAAGAAAACTTAGATTCAATTTTATCAGGATCCATCTGTACTTGGTTGGTCAAACTCAGCTTCCAAATTTCTGAACCAGCTTTTTTATCATAAAAAGAAAAGAAAAAAATGTTCAACCTGTAGGCTACCATATGCACTTCAAATGACATCTCCTACTCTTCCCTAAGGAAGGTGCAGGATTAAAATCTTGGTAGGGTCATGAGGTCGGGGGTTCTGCCTTCTCTGTTTAGTGTAGCCCACACCATTGAACAAAGAAAACAAAACAAAAGAAAAGGGAAAAGCATAATCTTTGAACAACTCTATTTGAACTGAACAACATCACCTTTAGGATCTCTGAAGGGCGAAACCCTCCTATCCATAGCAAAAAGCGCTCAGCTGGTGTTCTCCACATGCCATACATGAGATGGAAGACATCTGCCTTTGCAGCAACAGTTTTCATGCGGAAAAGATCGGAGTAGTGGCTCATGCCAACATCCACAAGTTTGCGAAGATCTATATCATTTACATGAGAATTCAAAGCAGTCTTGAGTTCATAAATTTGTCTATTTTGTTCTTCTACCCAGTGTCCATATTCCACCTCAAAAGCAGCAATACCTACAAGATCCTTAGAAGTGACCAGGTGTGAGATACAACAACTTGAAAGAATAAACAACAGGAACTATATTCAAAGAAAAAGGTATAGAATGAAACACAAGTGCAAAGATCATATAGACCACTCCAGAGAATTTAAGTGGAAGTGTTAAAGAATAGAGTTTACTACGCAGTTCGCACTATGATTGCATATCAATGCCTGGAACGTCATCTTCTTGGAAAGATAAAAAGAAAGTAATCGATTACGAATTTATAAACATATTACACAGTATATAATTTTGGAAATTTCTCATGATCAAAGTGACTTCAGACACATCATCCGTAAATTTACATTTCTTCTCAATAGCTATTTGTCGTTTTTTTTTTTATGACTTTGATGTTCTCTACCAAGAACTAATTAGTCTAATTAAAGGGATAAAAACATCAAATCCTCTTAACTTCAAAGAAATAGAGAACAAGTAGAGACAATGCATATTACTTTGAGTGAGGAAACTTTCCTGGTAGAGTATATCGTTTCGATGTAAATTTTACTCCCTTGATTTGAGTATTCATATTATCAAAATTCAATCAGGGGAATGGGCATAGTTAACCATAGGAGAATCAGCATAAGAACATATTATGAATTTAGTAAGCTCAAATGACAGAGAGAATCCATGGGTACAACCATTACAATCACATGAACTTCCAACTTTATAGCTTGTTGCAGAAAACTATGAACATATAAATCCAATGAGGCAGCATTATCTAATATCTTTAGATGACTAAATAAGAACAAAAATTCTTTGCTGTTTCTGTATTGTATGTGGTTCAAATACATCAACTACCTATATTAATTTGTGACAACAACATTTCAGAGTTAAAAGATTCTGGATAATGATAATGATGGTGATATATCAAATTACGAACCTGAGCCCGCTGCACCAGAATAACCTTGATGACTTCCATCTAATCCACCACCTATATACACACCCTACAGTAAAGCAATCATTGCTTCATTAGTTTTCTCTTCACCCCTCCGCTAAAGAAGTAAGTATATTGTTCGATTAAAAGATAGAATTAGGTAAGATTCAAAAAAAAAAAAAAAAGTCCGTCTTCCCCTTACCTGATGTCTAGCTCGTTCAAGCTCTTGCTCCAATTGAATCAGCTTCAAACGGCTTGTTTCCAACTGCTGAACATAGGCCTACATATCATAATTTAGGTCATGACAGTGGGCTAAAGTTATAATAATTAGAGAAAAGAAGTAACACCTGCAAAAGTGATTAAACATGCATCATAATTTGTTCCTACCTTTTTCCGCAAACGACTTTTACGAGCAGCCTCACGGTTTTGTGCAAGACGTCTCAGTACCTGAATGTTAACAGCATAAACAACCTTATCACATAGGCATTCATAAAATCCAACTAATATCTGACTCCTAAAATATGATTCAATACTCACCAGAATAAAAAATAAAAAGAACATTCTCTGAGTCTAAAGAAGCAACCATGTGTGTTTTTTTTCTCATTTATAGAGACTTGAGGTCTAAAATTTAGAGTCTAAAAATTAAACAATAATATGACTTCATTTTTTTTTCCCCCAAACACTGTATGCAATATCATCATCCTGGTTGTGATAGGTCATATTATCATGGCCAACATCATCACTAGCATAATGCCAGAGCAATGCCATTTAGCAACAGTTGCCATCCTGCTGACAGTGTCATCTTCTTGGTGGGCCTTGCTTTTGGATCAGTATGAGATCAAGACTTGAAATTTGTCTCCTCAGCATAACGATGAAGTTATATTGAACCATAAACCCATCCAAAATGTGTAACTATTGCTCAGTTTGTTTATACTCATCCAATTGCTAAGTTGACAATTTCAAATATATAACCACTACACAGCCTAATGGTCGAAAGTCTACAGGCTTGATTGTTGTTCACTGGATAATTGATTATAAATTAATTATAAGTGATGAAGAAACTCAAAATGTTGAAAGGAAGAAAAATAAATAAAGAAAATAAGTACCTCGGATGTTTTTACTACTACGAAGTGCATAACAAATGGAATAAGTAAAGTATTTAGGTCACCATGGATTTGCATGTACAATTTAAGTATATTGGAAAGTACAGTTCCAATTGTACAATCCTCAAAAGATATTAGTCAACTGGAAAATAAGGTTAAAACATCTAATATATCAAACAATTATCAAGAAAAGTTGCAATACTGGTCAACTAGGGAGCGTAAGAAACAGAAAAAATTATGAAAAGACATGAAAATAAAATACAACAAAGAGGAGACTTGAGTGACCAATGCAAATAAGAAAAACAATCAATTACAGCATCACCATCCTAAAATGTAGAACTAATATGCTGAATTTACGCTTCTATTTATTTTTAGGAAAAAAGCTAGAACTCAAAATACATGAGGAAATTACTTTTTCCTCTTTTTGAGGAGGAAGGGGGGAAGGGCATAACCAGAATTATTCATCAATTTTCTAGAAGAATATTTTTGGTTGAAAAGGAACAAACCACTCACTGCTCAGTTCTGGAAAGTAGTAATGAAAGAATTGAGTAGAAGTCAACAAAAAAATGCAATCTCCTTTACCTTTTCAAGAGGTTTAGTTGCTTCTTGGTCATACTTGTTAGAAGGTCCTGGCGTTCCATGGGAAGTATCCTCAGACTACAGAGATTAGCTTATAAAATTAAGTTTTAGTTTAGCAATCACAAGGATGTGGCACAAATACCAAACTCGGAGTAAATAAAACTTTAAAGAATTTCACCTGGTTGTCTAGTTTTGTATCCACTGCTGGAATTGCTAATGCAGATGTATCTGGACAGCTATTACCCCTGAAATTTTCTCCCCACATGCTAATCTGGTGGATTGGCTCGTATAAAACCATTCTTCTAGAAGTGTCAAACTGGGTGGATGAAGAATTCATGTTCTTTGGATTGATGATGATGAACTCAGTGAGATATCAACAACATTACATAATTGGAGCTACAAAATTAAAGATAAGAATTAAGATGTATACAAAAATGTATTTAAGTGAAAAATCTAAAATTGCAAAGTTAAGATAATCACTTTAGGAAATAGTGGGAAATGAAAAAAGGAAGGCGTAATAAGAATCAGAATGGTAAATAAGATAATGGAATAAGAAAGCTGCGCAAATGAGTGGCCTTTTCAAACAATTTTACAAGCTGCCTTTTTTTTCAACGCTTTTAGAGTTTTACAAAGGTATTCTGATATTGTTTGGCACAACATTTAGGATGACTTCAAATTAAGAGTAAAATGTGAGCAATGTCTTGTTTTCCTTAAGGTGCGAACAGAAAAAGACACATCATAAATAAAACAGTTTCTGTGGATGCAAAATTGGATCAAGTACATGCTATGGCTTACCAATATCAATATAGCATCAATGTTATAGAGTTTTGATGCACGTTATAACACCAAATAAAACTAAATAAGAGATGGACATGCAATAGAAACTTAGGAAAAGCAAATTCATATAGATCATGTATTCAACAAATGAAAACGCACTGAGTCACAGACTCAGTTATGACGGGCAGAACCTGTTAGCGGTAATTGGGGAGGTCAAAAGCACATCTGGGAGTACAAAAGGTTAAATTATAACCCAACTATTGACTCTCTACTTTGACCATATAAAAAGTGAAACCATTTCAGAAAAATATAGAATTTCATTATTTAAGTCCTAGAATTCATATTTTGGGTAGAAGACGAAGAAAAGTTGACATTTTCTGTGAGCAAACAAAGCCACCACAGATTTAGCATATACCTTGATACAATAGGTTAAAAATTAAGCAGGTGTAAATACACCCTATCCAATATTGAACAAGTGAAGAAACCTGTTAATTTTCTCAGGAGAACAGGGATTAGTTCTCTATATGAAAAATTGTAAACAAATAAATAGAAATACATCATTGATTCAACAGACACAACATGATCCAAACTGAAATTCAGTAGCGCAAGTGATTCAGAGGCAGCCATTGGACCAGAAATTTACTTCTCTATTTTTCCAGACAAAAGAGTTCATCTATAAAGTGAAGTAGCTTCAGTGTTACACTATCCCGAGAAATTGAATTCCCATGGAATAAAATGCTCCGTGAAGAAGGGAAAATAAGGACAAGAAACACCAACAAAAGATTGCTGTATAACTTCAAACGAGCTTGAGCATGCGGGAAATGCTTTAAATTATAACTTCAAGAGAGCAATATAAAATATAGATCAGTTAAAACATTTCTTAAAATGATTGCTTCCTCTTTAAAATTTGGAATTTATAACTCTTAAATTTAAAAATTCTATCCAAATCATAACATAGATGGTAAAATCAAACAAATTGAATTTGAGCTTGAAAAATACTTGCACCTAGAATGCATCACAAAATAAAAAATAAAAAAAATTAAACACCATCGAGATTCACTCTATAACTAATGAAACACAATTAGCCCGAGTAGGCCGTCTTAGCTCAGCCGGTAGAGCGCATGGCTTTTAACCATGTGGTCGTGGGTTCGATTCCCACAGACGGCGCCATTGTTCTGGTTTTTTTTTTTTTTGGTCTCGTGACCTAAAACGTCAGTTTGGTTGATCAGAAAGCAGAGAAGAGAAAGGAAACAGGAAAACAAGCATTCTTGAAAATTCAGTTAGATTTTGATAATATTCTTGTTTCGGTTCTGACAAAAATTTTAAGAAATAAGCATTCTGCAAGTTCAACTAAATTGAAATTTCCATTCTGCTTAGATTTTAACGTTTCACTAATTCACTTTCCCCTTTATTTCCTTTCCAGTTTTCTCGGCTACCAAACATAATATAAACAGATGAAAAATAAATAAATAAATAAGCAAAGTCGAACCTTGAAAGTCAGTTTGAGGAAATTTTCCCGCTCAATTTCCAGCTGTGGGAACACGAAATCGAAACCCTGGGGTCTGCAAAACCCTAGCTCGGATTCGCTGATCGCGGAGAAGAATCGAAAGCGAAAACGACATGTTCTGAAACAAAATAGCGTATGATGATAAGTAGTAGTAGTATAAGTGTATACACAATCATATATGTAAAGATATTATACTAAATATGATAATTACTATTATATTATAGTGTTGTTGTGGTGGAGTGTTTTATCGTCTGCTACAGTCGAAGTTTAAGGCGTAGTCACATTTCCACTATCAAACAACACTTTGAATATGCGCACCATGTCCACCTCCCTCTTAACCTGCGCACCCTCTCGGTTCGTTAACCTTCACCCGCTGATTGTGGCGTTTCCAGTTGACGTCATTTACCGGTGGGCTGTTCGGGAGGGAAAGTGGCTGTTTGCCTCCGTTTACGGCGGATGAGAGTGGAGACAGGTGGAGGGATCTTGATTTTGGGCGGAGATACATTTCCACGCGCGACGGAGGGGCGTGCCGTGAAGGGATTTAAATCTTAGTGGTTAAGCGCGGGAAACGAACTGTGTGAAAGGAACTATGGGTAGAGCGTGTTAACACGGTCTGTATTGCGTATGAGGTAGAAATTCGTAATTGAAATTACTATGAAAAGACTGCCCTCACCTAAATTCGCGTTCTTTGTCCGATTAAAAAACTGTTTAAATAATTAATGCTATACGATGACTCCACTAGGAGAATAAATCCAGCATTTAGTTTAACCGTGAATACGACGTAATTGGTATATTCTCTACATAATACAACATTTTACTATATTTATATAAATTTATATATGTATATAAATTTACATTATGCCCCCTATAATTATTTGAGTTTGACCTATTTCATTAATTAATATATGCATATAAATTTACATTTTGCCCCCTATAATTATTTTATCTAATTCTTTCTTTTTTCAATTTTTTTTCTCTCCAAATAAATTTGCATTCCTTTTCTTAAATTAAACTATAATTTTTTTCCCTTCATAGTTCTCTATATATATTTTTTTTTCTTTTTTTAAAAATAAATTTTCCCCTTAAAAATTGCTTCTTCTTACACTTATGTACGTTGTCTTGTTTGGTTAGATTTTTTTTTATTTTTTATTATGCTCCTTGAATCAAATTCTTGGCTCCACTCCTACCGAACATAAACAGACTTCTAAATTGATGTGTCAAGTTATGATCTATAATTAAACTTAACTCATTTATTAAACAAACCTATTTCAAAAATGAGTTACATTAAAGTCCAAATTGTTCATAAACAATCTGGTTACATAAAAGTCCAAATTGTTCATAAACAATCTGGCCCTTTTGCCGTCGTCCATTTTTTGCATGCCATTTGAGTTTAAAAAATTTGATCCAACCTCAATTTCGAGTTGAAGTTGGTCGGAAATGTCAGACAATTCAAATTCCAACTTATATTATAAATACTAGTAATTCGAGCCTAAATTGATGAACATGAACTCAACTCAACCCAATGTAATTTGACAATCGCATCTTTTAATCCAATCTTAACCTAATTTCAGAAAAAGTAAGTCCTAATTGGACGAAGTATTGTAGGTTTGAGATTTTTAAATTAGCGGATCCCTCCTTTAATAGACTCCAAACACACTATGACTTCTTAATTAGACTCCAAACACACTACGACTTCTTAATTAAGGTGTTTTATTGGGTAAGGAAGGAGTTGTCGTTTTCACAATCTTTTATGCGAGTCACTGCTACAAATATCAACAGTCTTCTTCTTCTACTTTATATTGCACATGCAATCTAGCAACACTCTCTATCCACTAGGCTTTCCAATACTACGCCAAAGTTTTTCTTTTCATTAATTTAATCACCCCTTTTGTACTCTCATAGAGCCATGGATAACTTTAACTATATCCAAGTTGCCACATAATATTTCCTTTCTTTATATACAAGTTGTAAGTCTATCATCTATATATATATATATATATATAGTGTGTGTATTCACTGGTCTGATCAAGACATGGTTTATTTTAAGAGCATTGATATAGGATGATTAGGATCCTTGCCAAAAAGGTAGAGGATCCTCTTTGTTGCATATTTGCATTCTTTTGGTGTATTTAAAACGATAATGCAACATCTGGATAACATTAATCGAAAATAATATAATATTAAATTAAGAATGAAACGATAATATAAATGTATTGTATTTTTTATTTAATGTATTGTGGCGACAGGTGACACACTAGTAGATTATCACACTGAGCGAGTTATAAGTATACAATCCTACATTGCCTAATTGTGGAAAGAACAAGTGCTATATATAAGTTCAACACCTTTCTATATTTTAAAACCGTGATGACCATGAACTCATTCAAATTCAGGAATTAAGCGTATGCTTAATCTTAAATTAAGAATGTAACAATAATATAAATGTATTGCATTCTTGATTTAATGTATTGTGGCGATAGGTGAGGTACTGGTAAACTACCACACTGGAAGAGTTATAGGTGTACAATCTCACATCGTTTAGGTATGGAAAGGGCAAGAACTATATGTAGGTTCAACATCCTTTTATATTTTAAAATCCTGATGACTATGAACTCATCAGAACCGGTGAATTAAGCGTACTCTTAACTTAGAAATAGAATAATAACAGTAAAAAAGAATCATTTTGAAATTTTTGCCAATGGGGAATATGTAACTTTTCCTTTTAAGATTCTACCACACGCACCCTCCATAAGTTGTCTAGACACCAAATTCATCACTGTCGCAGAATATATTGCAATTTTCTTTTTCAGTTGTGTGCGTGATTTTGGTGTTGCTTTGAATGGTCCACAAAATTTGATTCCTAATACAGCGTAGTGAACCAAGTCATGAACACTTTTTGAAGTTGGCTTTGATTGAACCTTTTGAGTCCCACCACCTCTAGTAATCTCTGTCTAAACATAGACTATTAGCTTCTTTTTTACTTAATTTTTTTTTCCCCCCTTTTTTGGGATGTTAAAATATGAAATTAATTTAGTATATATATAATTTTTTTACCCGACAAAGAGGGAGGGGATAAGGTGAGTCCAATCTGAACTCATATTTTTTTTGATCAACAGGTCTATGGCCTAGCGATATAAGGCTCAACTTCTCAAAAGAAGGTTAAGGATTCGAACCTCAAAGAAAACGGTGTGTGTGAGTCCCAACTAGAGAATGAGAAAATTGAAAAGGAAAAAAAAAAAAAAAAAAAAAAAAGAAGAAGAAGCAAACTCACACAACTCATAGGAGTGCAACCCTGGTACATAATCATTGAGTTTTGGTAAAAAAAATTCTTTTTTCTTTTTTTTTTTAGGTGAGAATAATGAGCATGTATCCAAACTCTTCTCGAGAAATACGTATGCTCTTTTTCTCTTTTCTTTTGTATTATTAAAACTCGATTGTCAAATAATAATAGGAAATTAATTTTGTAGGAAATCGTATGTTGATATTGAAAAAAATTATAAGGGACAAAATTTTAAAAAATCTTAGTCTAATTCTATATCTTCAACTATCATATAACATGTGTCTCATACAATAGACAAATTAAACAACCTGTCTCATATAAAACAATTTAAAAAATTCATTTAATGGTTTTGGACAAGAACAATTTATAATGAAAACATGCACAATGCTGAACAAGGACGAAGAAGGTCACCCCGCTCCATCGTTTATAATACAAAAATAATATTTGATCTTTATATTTTACGTTATAATCCTTCCGTTTCATTTTATATGTCGGTTTCGGGAACCCGAAACCAACATCTAAAATGGGACGGAGGTAGTATACAATTGTACTCCTATTGCTGGAAATATGTTAATATTTTTCGTGTCAATTTGGTACTACTGAATAAATTTTTGAAATAATGTTTATTTAGTTTATATTCTTATGAGTTTTAAAATTTTGAGTTAAAAAATCAAAATCAAAATAAAAAAAAAAATGAGTTAAAATTTAAATGGGACAAGACGAGAGATCTTAAATAAAAGGTGCGGAAAATTAATTATTTGCTAAACGATTTTAGTTAAAAATAAAACCGGGACAAGAAAAGTCTCCAAATACGAGAGAACGTAAACAAAATATGCTGAGTAATATTCGCTAAATGATTTTTGCCGAAAACAGAAGCAGGACATTGTCATTCCTACCTAAATGTTTCTAATAGACTAAGCCCAAATGGCATAACCCATAGTGTCGTCGTCACATACACAAGTATATCATTTTTCAATTTAAATTAAACCAAAAGTGAAATTCTATTCCTGTATAGCTCAAAAAGCCCTTAATGAGCAAAACCAAAATGTAAACGGCTAAAAAAGAAGCTTTTGACAAAAATATCCCACTTTTTACCTTTGTGTCTCTTTATTTTTCCTTTGGTAAGTCTCATTAGCCAAAGAATCACGCATGCCACTATATATTTATCTCCCAAGCCATACATGATTCCTTCCTCTTCTTTTATTCCAATATTATATGATTAGACCTTTAGACCACCATATAGAATGGACCCAACCCAACCCAACCCAACATTATGTCCATCTGTGTGTGTGTGTGTGAACAATATTTGATATCTAGATACGTCCAGTGGCATCTAATTCCAATGACTCTTCAGCTGACGTAATATAATATTTGGTTTGTTCATCCACCTAAACAAAAATTCAACATAGGCAAAGGATAAGTTCAAATATTTGTATTATATTTAGACTATTTAGTATTTGCGATCATAACTGGCTCTACGTGGTGCCAATTATGTGTTACTATAATTGTGGTGGGGCTTTAAATATGTGATTGTATGTGTGTGTGAGTGTGTGTGTGTCAGTGTGTGTGTGAATTGCGAAAAAGGTATGTGATGATCACCCAACATTCGGTTTTCTTTTTGTTTTTCCATTTGTGGGTGTTTTTGCAAGTGCAATATGAAGTGGCATTGCCACTAAGAGCGGCCAATGTTGGCGTCACAAAAATAGTGATTTCTTCATGATGATGAGAATTTGAGACTCTCCACAGAACTCGGGTGCTGTTTGGCTAAAGTCAAATTGTCTTTTCACAGTTAGGTTACTGTTTGAAGACGACATGCATGTGTTGTGTGCATGAGACGACAAATATATACATAGCATCTGATTTTTCACAATAGGGTTGCTTTTTCGAAATAATTTGGGGTTAAAAGAGTAATAATGATGGCCATGTAGAATATAAGTAGTGGCCTCTATTGGGCGCAGACCTTATGCTAGTGTTGTTTGCTTTATTAGTACTGTTACCAAACACATCACATGTATTTCTATATATAACTATTTATATACGTATATGTAAATGTTATATATAAGGCAATGGTGCATTTTTTAAAATACAATGGGGGTTAGTTAACAAAGTATATTCACAAAACACTTTAAATAATAAATAAAAAATTGGAAAGATGAAGAATTAAATCTTTTCAAAGAAAAGACAGTCGAACAATGCTTGGAATTGCGATTTCAACAAAAATTATTCCATCGGAATCACCGGAAGCATTTGCGTTTGGAACATATGTACTTAAAAGTATGTGTGTTTGTCATACCAAAAAAGAGGATGTGAAAAGGAATATATGAATATATATCTATATATATATATATATATATATACACTTGTTGGTAAGCAAGAAATTTATTATTATCAAATATAGTTATCGTTAGATGTGATTGTTATCAAAAAAATTTAGTAATGATCATTTTCAATGGTTGCAATGTTTTTTTTTTAAAAAAAAAAAAAAAAAAAAAAAATCACTCTACTATTTGGTATCATATTTTTGTTTTGGCTCCGAACTCGCACGTTTTTGCTCGTGGCCTTTACTCCAAAAGAACTCATACCAATTTGAGATAACATCACCAAATATAAGCACTTCACATTCCCCTTATTGTGGGATTATGCACCCATAACTTGTCCAGTGTGAACTGTGTGATAATCAGTACCTCTTGCACTCTCCCAACAAAGTCGCCACAATAAAACAGTTCGAATTTCATGTCATGAGCTATAAATTTATTTATTTATGGTATATTAATTACTTTTAGCAGAAAGAAATTTTTATCACAAAAAAATTTACATGCAAAAGGGATGAGAAAAATCTCGATGGAAGTTTTCATATTTGGTGGTGGTATTCACTATTTATTCAAAAATTCTCGGTAACATGTTAATTGGACCGACTTTAGCCCATTTTTACACTGTCTACTGATGGGCTGCTTGAGTTTGGGCTCAACTTAGGGCCTGAAGTTATAATGTGGTCACTCAGTTCGGCCTGTAGATAGTAAAAGTGTTGGGCTGATGGGATGCTTTCATGTGGTCCCAAAAATGGTCCCACATGATAGCATATTTGGATTATAAATCATTTTCCTACACAAATTCGAAATACATATTGGGCTTACAAATCATTTTCCTGCACAAATTCAAAATAAGCTGTAATGGAAATGGAAACTTCAAAATTTGTCCTCATGGTCTTAGTCACATGAAGCGGAGTGTGACGGTAAATTCGAGAATGAAAATACGAAAGTGATAAAATTAAATCATAAATAATAAAAATGATAGCAAAGACGTGTGGAGTGTGAAAGTGGGTGCGCCCTTCGAACATAAGAGCGGCACCCGATGACAAGAATTGTGTAAAAAAATTTATTTAATAATTCAAAAAGTATATTTTAGAAAGCAAAATGCTACGATAACCTTGTCTAACTATTATTCATAATAAATTCTCTACATTTTAGATCATTCGTAAATATTAACCCAGACGTCTTTTTTGTTTTAATGAGAAAAGAAATTAAGATGGAACTATTTAAATTCGTATCAAAATTCATTCAAAATAAAATATGAGCTTTTAAATTCGTATCAAAATTCATTCAAATTTGGCATTTCAGAGCCCATTTAATGATCTATTTGATAAGTTTATTTTAAAAAAATAATAATAATAATAATTCTATTGAGATTTTAAGATAGACAAATTATTTTTGTTTTTTTCGAGGGAGAAGTTAGTAAATACCAATTTCCACAATTATTACTTGACACTCCGAGTACAATCCATTTATTCGAGGTCTTGACATCACTAAAGCCAAAAATTATTGGTAGAAGTTTGTTGACATATACCACGAGCGACCCCAGTTTAACCATAGTACATCAATCAAAGCTAAGTGGCCCAATTGGATCTAACCATGGTTAATAGCATCTATGTCACTATGGTATAGGCCATTCAAACTTAACAAACACGCTGTTCTCTACTTTATTCATTACATTCGATCGAATAACTTAAAATACTAGGCATCAAATGATTCTTAATGTTTTAATTTTTTCTTCGCAAAGAATTTCTGTTGTTTGATGAAAATAATTTGATATCTATATATATATATATATATATATATATACACTACTAAGTTGATTTCAAACATTTCTTATTGATCTTATTTTGATTGTGGAATATGCTTCAAATGATTCTGAATTTGTTATTTTAATACAATTTCAAAAAACTTATAAAAATATAATAACAATAAAATAATAATCAATGTGAAGCGTAATAGTGCATAGAAAAAATAGATTAGTCTGATAATATAACTTAATTAGACGTGGTAAACTCAAGAAAAAGATTAAATTTTAATTAACCCACTTGTTTAAGTCTAGTCCACACTACTTCTACGGGCAGCACAACCCAACGATATTTCATATAATTTCTCTTGCTCAAGACGCTGCCCGTCCTGCCCGTTACCCTCTGGAGAATTACGGGCAGCTCTCTCAGAAACACCCCCAACATTCACAGACTCTCTCTCTCTTCCCTCTGATTATATCTTCTTATTTCTCTGCTGTGTCTCTAGGATCTCGATCGGACGGTCCACGATGAACGCAGACTCTGATATCTGTTTTCTCAGTTTTTAGCTTTTCCAAATCCCAGATCTGCTTGATCTGTGCTCAGATCTACGTTCCTGGTACGTTCTCTTCTCCGATTCCCTCAATTTTGAATCTTGTTCATCTTTTAGCAAAATTCTTTCAAAGCTAGAGCTCGATCTGAGGCTTTTCAGTTGATTTGTTCAAATTTTCAGTTTTTTGCTGCTTAATTCATACTCGATTTGTTTAAATTTCGTGATTCGGGCGACCTTCGATTCATTTTCCGGCAAACTTCTCTTGATCTCTTCTACTTTCCGTGAAAATTGACTTTCTCGGTAAAGTAGTCTTTTGTCTTCTTTTGCTCCACCTTCAGTATTCGAGATCCAATTTCATAGTTATGTTTTCTCAATTTTGTACAGAGATTTTGTTTTTCTTTTTGTTTTTCTGGTTTGTTCCAAGATTTTTCTATTATATTACAGAGAAAATTTCTGGTTGGTTTGATTTGAAATCCAACGGTTGAACAGAGAAGTAGATGAATCTAACCACCCTGGACGTGTTTGCAGGTTGTCGTGTGCCGTACAGATGGAGACCAACTGTGGTTCAGCTAGTGGCACTACACTTAACAATGGTGTGCTAACGTGCGCCGGTGAAGCTTTAGCCGCTATTTTGGCGATGGCTCTGCTCCAAGCTCGGCTTTTGGCTCAAGCTCAGGTAAGTGATTTTAGATTTATCTGCTCATAATTTTAACCAATCCTGTAAAATTGTAAAGTTTTTCCAATTAGTCTAAATTTTTCTTAGCTTTCTTCGTATGGGAATGGGAAGTCGTGAAAATTTGAGCAAATGAAATTTTTTTTTTCTACTTTTAGAATTTTGACTAGGAAGAAAGGAAGAATTTTTATGGGGAGTAAGATTTCCATAATTGTTTAATTTTTCACTAAAAAAAAATTCATAAAAACATTTATAAATGGGGGTTTTTTTTTTTTTGGTAGTATAATTATTTTTCTTTTAATTTTGTCTTAATTTTTAAGAAAATATATATTAAAATAATTTATTTATTTTTCATTTACTTCTACTAGTATTTGTTTTCTTTTACTTTTCTTTTTATTATTTTTATATTTACCAATAATGGCTTACGATTTAGTTGAAGAGTAAGCTCCAAATTTTAGAGTCCGTATAACAAATGGAAAGGTGAGACTTATCTACCAGAAATTATATTTTATATATATATATATATTTGTATATGTATTTTTATTTTCTCTTTTAGCAAACAAAGTGTTTACACGTTACAATTTAGTCGGTCGCATTAGTCCGTTAGTGGTGTTTGCTAATGTGCGCCTGTAGCATTAGTCTCCTCCCATTTTGAGGGATTAACTGCGACTTGTAGGTGTATTTTTTATTCTTATTGATAAAATCATAAAGGAAATAGTATATTTTTAGGCAGGCGCAAGCTGATGTTCAGAACGCAGCAGCACTGTGATTCTGGCTTGCGCCAATTTCGGCGTATGTTAGCAAAAGTGATTTGCTGCAGTAAAATATGTCATTATTTCGTTGTCGGTACTGTGTGCCCATATTTTATTTTTATTTTTTAAGCATATCGCATAATCTTCCGGAATTGAAAGAATAATTAATTGTGATTTTGGGCATAATTTGGGTTCCATCTGGTTGGATGGTGAGCCACGTCGGCATATTCTCCCTTTTTTTGTGGTGAAAGAAATTTCAAAAGTCAACAAGAATATAAAAAGGTGCAACTTTGTCCTAAGCGTAAAAACATATAATGGTCCTACATGGTGTCAGAATATTCTCTTGTGGATTCTCTAGGCTTAATTTTGAAAACATTGGAGAAGACAACATTTTTTGGTTTAATTAAAGGACGGGGATCATTGCAATTTTCAGTAAAATTTTAACTTTGGTAACGTATGGTTAGATAGATATCAATACTGAAAAGAAAATGAGATGATAAAAAATGAACTTTGCATGAAATTTTTTCAAGAAATTATAAGAAAGTCTCATTTCATAATTTGGATTGTATGAAAATGAATAAAAAATATTAAAATATAATTTACATAAATTGTTATTATGATCTACATAAATATGACAATGGTCTAAATACATTTATTTTTAACAAACAAACAAAAAAAATTTATTTAAAAAAGGGCAATACAAGAATCTAAATAAAAACTAAATAAAAACATTTCGAATAATATCTAAAGAGAGATAAAAATAACAACTCACTGTCTTTCCTGCCTCACCAACGTCTAGAAAGGAAAGTTACATAAAATAAAAATAACAACTCTCTGTCTCTCCCTACGACCTTCATTTGTTTTCGCTCTATCAGTCTTTCTAGTCGAGTATAAAAGATTAGAGTGAAGTTCTAAAGCTGTACTTAACTTTATTGTAGTACTAGTGATATAGTGAGTGATGAGAATTATTTCAACGAAAAGGGTAGAAATGAATTAAACGTGTCTAAATTGTGCCTGGTTTGCCCTGTCTGTATGCCCATGTCAATTCTTCCATTTCTCGCTCTTATAGCTTGTCCCTTGAGAGCAAATTCTGTTAGCATTCCGCTTTAAGCTTTTTGCACTTGTGTGGTGAGGACATAAAAATTTAGAATTTTAGTGCAATAAATCGAATGTCTAGTCCCATAGGATTACTAAGCTTTTCTATTTTTTGTGTTCGTGTCATGCTGCATTGTAGCAAAAAGGGCTAGATGAAACTACTGATTATAGAGAACCCTGAAGTTTCAAGTTTCGGTAGTGACTAGTTAAATAGATGAAGCAATTGATTCCCAGCTGCTCACCTAGTCATTATTTATTTTTATTTTTTTGGAAATACCTTGATTACTTTGGAATTTCTCAAATCTCTAAGGAATCTATGGTATATATATTTGCTTTGTTTTAAAACCTGTGGAACTTTCTCTGTACCTGATGGACCTTCATAAAATGGTTTCAGGATTTATTTGGTTTACTGACCAACCAACCTAGACTCAAGGGTGATCAATCCTCCACCCAATGCTATTCCAAGCCGGTAGATGCTGAGGGAGAAGACGACGAAGATGATGGTGATGATGATGATGAAGGGGATGGTGGGTTTGGAGAAGGTGAAGAGGACTTGTCATCCGAAGATGGAGGTGAACATGGCGACAACCCCAACAACAACAAGAGCAACTCAAAGAAGGATCCAGAAGAAGGGGCAGGTGGCGCAGAAGAGAATGGTGAAGACGACGAGGAGGATGACGAAGAGGATGGAGATGATCAAGATGATGATGACGACGACGACGATGACGACGATGGTGGAGAAGAGGATGAGGAAGTCGTCGAGGAAGAAGAAGAAGAAGAGGAAGAGGAGGATGAAGAAGAAGCACTCCCACCTCCAAAGAAGAGGAAGAAGTAAACGTAGTAAAGTAGTTAAGCCTCTTCCAAGTACTGTTTCATGTAACCTGTTGTCTGACATTATGTTCTTAGTTAGTTTATGAGGAGGCCTATTAGGATGATGCTTTTCAGTAATTGTTATATTCCCTTTGCATATTAATCAGAACAATGAGCTGCAGAATTGTCGAGATTCATAGTATGTTATGTTATTTAAATTTGGCCACTTAACGGATTTTAATCGTTCACCAAATATGTGTTTGAATTGGTCACAGATTCTATATATATATATATATATATATATATATTTTTTTTTAAGACTTGCTCCTGCTAGTTGCTAATATTCTTAATTAGATGTTTGGAATTAATAGATGTTTTAAGGGGAAGTGAATAATATTAATATGTTTTAAGAAATACGGAGTATTACACTTAAATATAATACTCACCAACATACACTAAGATAGACTGAAAGTCGTTTCTAATGTAAATCATCTCATGAAGTACACTACAAAACAAATAGAAACAACAAAAATGAAATTTTCGTTACTTCTTACCTTACATAATTTGTTTTTACTCCTCCTGTCCCAAAATAGATGGGCACAGTGACTAAGAAAGTAATAAAGAATTAAATTGCCCAACTAAATTTTCACGTCAGGTAACAACTCAATCATGGGCATTCTCTCTTATTTTTGGTTGGTTAAGGGCATTCCAATTTCCACCCCCAAAATGATAACTATGCTCAAGTAGTACCAATTAAAATCTATAATCTAAAATATAGATAGATAGATAAATATATACACGTGTGTGTGTGTGTGAAAAAGAATAACGTATTGCTATATATATAGCAAAACGATATATCCTTGTTTTATTACATTTCGATTTTTCTCTCCAATTCTTAACTTAATTCCTCTATTCTTACGCACGTAGTAATCTTAGAACATATTTGTGACCTAATTCCTCTATTTTTATGCAAGTAGTAATCTTGGAACAAATTTGATATTATTCCATACTTTTAGAAATGGCCCAAGTTTGCCTAGCCCAAAACGGACAAATAGGTTAGCATAAACTAGCCTCACATCACAATAACAAGTACTCCATACCTGCCCACTTGTCTAACCTGTGCCAACCTAATTTCAAGCGGCTATACACTTACTATTAATAGCAAATGAGTTCCTTTATTTTTAATTTCTTTTTAATGAAGCAATTTTGCTATTCCTCTAATTTACAATTAAAAGAAAATTCTATATTTTCCCCCCCAAAAAAAAAAATTTCATTGTTCCATATGAGAGAATACCAAAATTAACAGCAGATCCAGATTGCTGTTAAATGTGAACGGGATAACATAGACATGTCATGTGTCTTATTCCATCCTATCAATGACATTTGTTGCCACTTAAAAGTTTGGTTGGAGTGATTTAGACAGAACGGAAATGAAGGGAGACCTGACGGAACATGAATGGAGAATTGTTTATTTCCACCAAACAACTTTCACCAAAACAAAAACAAAAGAAGCTTCAACAAGATTATTCATATTGTTGATTTAAACAATGACTAACTTCTGCATACACACTATTGGCATCTTCCTTGCACTAAACACCAATAAAAAAGTAACAATAATTTAATCGAACATCACCAGAACCGTAGGTGGAACACTGGACAAATGTGGTTTCATACAAGTAACAATATATTACTTTGGCATCACCGAATCTAGGTGATCCACAACCAACAAATGTAATTTCAGAAGTTTGAATTGCATTTGTTTCAACATTGAACATTTTTTATAATAATTTTTTTTGCATGTTATGTTTTTTTACAGTACTAATAATTTTCATCTTACTTTCCAATGTTTGGTTAAAATACTGAAAATTTCTTCCAAAAGAAATTTCATAGAGTCAGTCGTAAAAATAAACATTAAGCGCATTAAATCCTACAAAAGGAGACTTGAGAAAAAGTGAATGCAAGAACCAAAAAAAATCTGGTAGACTGAACATCAATAAATGTTTTATAAGGGCGTGCAAGAATCCAACATCCTCTGATCATAGATAATCCACCATTCTCGGGGGTTTTCATCGTGTAAACGAAAACTTTTAAGAAAAAAGAGGCAAATTAGTATTTACAATGTCTCTTTAGTGGAGAATATATCAAGAATTAATCATAACAAGCAATTGTAAGAGATAAAATTAATAAGAAAAATATTTAAGTGATGAAGCTGCAAGGAAAACCAAAGAGCAAAGAAATGTAAGAAAAACAGGCGAAAGAACAAAGTACAACAAACCTTCGACGCAAATGATAGAATTCGAAATCCCAATCCTCATTAATCTGGATCCAAGTTCTGCATCTGGTATCATTAGCTTACTACTCGAGAACCCAAAAACAGAATCCGCAATCCCAATCTTCATTAATCTGAATCAAAGTTACGCATCTTGTTACTTATCCAAAAAAAAAAAAATTCTGCATCTGGAGTAGTTAGCTCATATCTAGAGAACCCAAAAAACAGCTACAATGCCTGTTCCCATAAAGCATGAGAAAACCATGGACGAAATCAGGAGATATCCCAGCATCAGATATCATACAAACTCACCCCTTTATCCGTTATTTAGGCTGTGCCAAACACCTTGCCACCCCAACTGAACTGAACTCAACTAAGTGTACATGAATCTTGTTTTGCCAATCCGCTCTATCCAGGGAATAACCTTAGTAAGACCACACGCTATCATATATTTCCTTACTAACTCACCCCACGTTAGTTTCAACTGCTCTGTCTATAACATTACCCTCGACGTGGACCACTTCGCTCTTCCTCACTGGTGCAAGTATTCGTATCCACTGCATATGGATAACATATCTTGATCAATCTTCTATCAGTTTATTTTCAACTAATGCTGTTTCAACCATCTCCCAAATATGTTCACTTTCTATTCAATTTTTGTCGCACATCCATTTCAACATTTATATTCATTTTATGAATATATTGTTCCTTAATGACTCAACATTCTGTCTTACAAAGTAAAAATGGTCATATAGCTTTCTTTTATAGATTTATCTTTCAATTTTAAATGTATATATCACTCATATAATATTGCAGAATCTCTCTTCCATTTGAACCATCCATGTTTAATTCTATGAATAACACCATCTCCAATTTCTCCCATCTGAAAATAATTGTCCTAAATAATGAAAATGGTCACTTTTTTGGCATCTTTTAACATTCCCCATATCTTCTCTTGTATTACTAATTTTGTAGTCAGCTTCCATTTATCCAGTGTTAATCCTACTTATGTAAAACACCCTCTTAATTCTAGAGAGTTCTCTAATTTTAGAACTTATCACTGCTTTAATTTCAGAAATAAAAATATCATCTCCCAAGTTCTTTATTACATTCTTTTAAATCTAGTGTCCTACAAAATTATCATCTAACAACTTCTCAGAGTAACTTATTCATTATCCTCTAGTTTCATCATCTTTCACTAATACTTTGTATAATAAGTCTTGATGCACTTAATATTATTGAAATATTCAACTATGTTCTCTCTTAACTTAGCAAGTATATATATTCTTCTCCCAATCCTTTGTACCTAAAATTAGAATAAAAATCGCCATATGCTTTGTACTTCTCTCACTACATTTTTAACTTCTTTCTTTGCATATTTTATATTTATCAAAAATTTCTTTATTTCTAATTTTCCCAGAACTTTATAGCACACTTTTTTTATCTTTTGTTTTTATCATGGTTTGAGCATTCTCCTTACACCACCAAGTTTACTTATCTAATGGTCCATTTCCTTATGGTTCTCCAGGAATCTCTTTTGATATTCTTCTAATAGATCCATCCATTTTATCCCCACAGTCTATTGTTTTCATCTTCTAAATTCCATATTATTTCTTTAAACATATTTTCTTAAACAATTCCTTATTATCCCTTAAATTCCACCAGTTGGTCTTTAGGTTTCTAATTTCTAATTTCTTTCTTAAGTGTCCTCATTAAATACTTTTGAAAATGACAAACTCTTTTGCAATGTTAACTTTTCTCTCAGATAACCTTACAGTCTAAAAACTCTGCATGTATATCAATCTACTCTTCTAATTTGAGAAAAGTCAATCACACTTGTATTTAATTCACTTTTAAAGGTTTTTAGATGTTTCTCTCTTTTTAAAATAGGTACAGCTATCATAAGATTATCTGTAACTGCAATGTCTAGTATAACCTCCCTAGCATCATTCCTATTTCCATATCCATATCCACCACACTCCACCCTCTCGTCTGGTATTCCTTAAATCATTCATTCATATGTTCCCAAAAATGTGTTTGTATATGTTCATCAATTCTTGTTTTGGATGCATAAGTACTAATTATATCAAAAATATTTCCTCCCAATTCAACCCAATACAAATTTAACTAACATTATCCCACCCTTTAATCTAATAAGAGTCGCAACATTTTCTTTCAAATGCTTATAAACAATTACCCCTTACTCCATTTCCATGTCTTATTTTTTCCAATAAACATAATTTATATCCTTTATATATATATTTTCCTTAGATGTCTATCCTAACCATTAGTTTGCACTTTGCTGTAAACATATTATAGTAACTCTCCTAATAAAAGTGTCTACCAACTCCATCGCTTTCCATATTCCCACAACCATTCAAGTAGGTTTTCCGTCATAACAATAATCCTTCCACCAAGTACCTGTGTCCCTTTAAAACTCTCCCTCTCACACACACACACACCCACGCGCACGCGCGCCCCACAGTCACCAGAATAAGGTAAGACCATTAGTATGTCATTGAAAAACAAACTCAAACAGAAACCATAAACTGCTAAAAGCATATAAAAACAAAACACAAAAACAAAAAATGCTTCCCTTCACAAATGTAACACTAAAATAAATAAATAAATTGATAAACAACTAGAATTCTAAAAAATTACTCTCACAATCCCATGTCTTCAGCATCGGTAGACCAAGAGATTAAAGATGTAAAGATAAGTAACAATAGCCAAACAAATGATTTAAGAAAACAAAAAATGAGAGAAGGATTAATAAATAAATAAATTTTCTTTTAATAAGAAAAAATAAATAAATTGCAAAACCATCATAGTTTTCATTCTCATAGGCCATAACGCATTAATGGCTCTGAACATAACTAACAAAACATAAGAGTACCTTCTAGTAGTACTAACATCAAGACGTTGATATTTATCATTTAAAGAAAATATTATTTATAACTAAAATTTATAAATTCATTTAAGAAATTCAATATTATGCTATGCCATCCCTGTAGTTAGGATGAGCTTTGCTCTAGAAAAGAAATAAATAAAAATCAAGCATTCTACCTCCATAAGTTACAAGATTCTTTGTAAGTACCGAGTCTAATAACAGGAAAAATAAAAATAAAATATATATATATAACTTGTGATAACAACATCAAATCCAAAGCCAAAACCTCTAAAAATGTCAAATAAATAACACAAAGTTTGCTTATTTATCTGCACAGAAGGAAAAGGATAAATAAATAAATAAAAGAATGTTAAGCATCATTAAAACACATTCTGATATCCTTTACAAACACGCTCAAACAATCTAGGATGCTTAGCATCCCTAGAATGAAGATATTTTATCAAATAGTAATTTCCAAACTACATTGTCCCACACATTGCTATGCTGAAAGAAAAAATATATATAAAACATCAAAATGCCACAACTTCAAAAGAAAGAACTATACTAGAGTACCTTCTATTACTAACATCAGGATGTTGATATTTATCATTTAAAGAAAATATTATTTATAACTAAAATTTATAAATTCATTTAAGAAATTTAATATTATGCTATGCCATCCCTGTAGTTAGGATGAGCTTCGCTCTAGAAAAGAAATAAATAAAAATCAAGCATTCTACCACCATAAGTTACAAGATTCTTTGTAAGTACCGAGTCTAATGACAGGAAAAATAAAAAAATAATAATATATATATATATAAAACTTGTGATAACAACATCAAATCCAAAGCCAAAGCTTACCTCTAAAAATGTCAAATAAATAACACAAAGTTCGCTTATTTATCTGCACAGAAGGAAAAAGAAAAATAAATAAATAAAAGAATGTTAAGCATCATTAAAACACATTCTGGTATATCCTTTATAAACACGCTCAAACAATCTAAGATGCTCAGCATCCCTACAACGAAGATATTTAATCAAATAGTAATTTCCAAACTACATTGTCCCACACATTGCTATGCTGAAAGAAAATATATATATATATAACATCAAAATGCCACAACTTCAAAAGAAAGTACTATACCTGTACCCCCGAGTTCCGAAATCCTATCCTTTTTTGGTTGGGACACTTAGCCACTTAGAGATAACTCTCTCACACGCACACACTCACTATTGCCCCCATGGGTACTAGAACCCTCAATGCCCTCGTGGAAGGAGGTGATACAACTTGGGATAAAGGAAAAAAAAGGAAAGAAAAGAAAATTTAAATAATAAAAAATAAAAGAGTATAAACCATAAAACTAAGTAGCTAACAGTAAAATACCAATTAAACAAAAGAATAGTAATACTAGGAAATATCAAGTATAAATCATAAAAGTAAAGTTTCCAGAAAATTTTCAAGAGTGTCTGATGTACTAAAGACGTAAAATCAAGAAAAAATGATATCAAATATCACACAGCATATTGAATTCCATACCCATGAACCATAAGCATTATCTTATGTATTCCACTGAAATGTGAGAAATGAAAAGGCAAAATTCATTATTCACCATTAAGAAACACAATAAAAAAAGAAACAAGAAAATAAAACAATGTGGCCAAAATTACAAAATTATCAAAAGACCTTAAAGTAAAAACAGAAAACGTTGCCAAATCCATACAAGGTCATTATAAATAACATCACAAGAAGATTGTCAACAGAATTTTTGTTGAGCTTTCCAAATCATAAAATTATGGACTACAAGAAAATTGATCAAAGTTCAAAGTTTCACTCTATGGATAAAGTTTCCAGGACCAGCAACTGACCCAAATAAGCCCTTAGATAAAAGTTCTCCGAAACTGCACGAAATTGTTCCTCATGCTCAGCTGCACTTAATCTGCATATACAGAGCCCAAGTATGTCAAGAAAATAAAACAACAGATAATAGCCGGCCTACAGAAATTAAATTAATATTGTAAAATTGCTGAAGCATACTAGAGCTACACACCATAATAATAAATATATGGCTTTCTCTGTGCGTATGTGTGTGTGTGTGTGTGTGTGTGAGAGAGAGAGAGAGAGAGATTCACCATGTGCTAATAACTGTAGATTTTTTTTTTAAAATAGTCCTCACTGGCTCTCCCAGTATAATAAGGCCTAAAAGCTTATTCTACTTGGCTCTTTATCATCTTTGGATTTCCAAATTTTCGAATACAGGAACATACTTACATGTGACTACATTTTTTGGGGGAGGTAAACACAAGTCAAAAACCTCTGTAGTAGAGAACATCCAGCGATATCAGTAGAGGTATAGCAGTATTAATGTGATCCAAATTGAACCCTACACTAAATTCTTTTGCAAGATAGAAGGACAATACTCCCCTCGGGAAAATAAAAATATATACATACAGCAACCACCAAGCCTTTTCCCAATTACTTGGGGTTGGCTACATGAATCATATGTTTTCATTCCGCTCTACTCAAGGGCCATAGCCTTGGTCAATCCACATGCTTTCATATCTTTTTTTACTAACTCTACCCACATTAACTTTGGCCTTCCTCTTCTCCTGGTATTACGCTTAATGTGGACTGTCACCTTTCCTAACTAGCGCACTTAAAGGTCTTCCTCGCACAAGTCCAAGCCACTGCATAGATTATCAGGAAGGGCATCTGTTTATGCTCTTATATCATATAGATATTTATACAAAGGCCACCGAATCAAATTTCTCTAATGGAAGAAAAAACATTAGAACATTTTCTTGTTTAGTTTATAGAAACCATATGGCATCATTGATCAATTTGATTAAATGTACAATAAGAACGACCTTTGAAAATAGTTAACCAATGCTCCATCAAAAGGTCAACCCTAGTGAAGGTCGTCAATCTCCTCCTCTAAAAGTCAACTGTAACGGATGGGCGCTTCGCGATTCGACCCAAAAGCGTAAGTTACTGGGTGGGGCTAACACCCAACCCATATATACCCATTCACTTTTCCATCTGCATCCGATGTGGGACAAACTCCCCCTTGTTACATTCTCCCCCACCTGAATTTACAACGCCCTCGTTGCAGCTCAGGCCACCCTGCCTACCCGGAGTGCAGACCCGGACGCTCTCCGAACCGAGCGCTTGGCGTGACCGGATCAAAGACTGGGTCGAACTCTAATAGCAACTATAACGAGTGGGAGTTTCGCGATCCAATCCAAAAGCTTAACCTATTAGATGGGGCTAACACCCAACCCATATATATAGCCATTCACTTTTCCATCAAGATTCGACGTGGGACAAGCTCCCCCTTGTTACATTAATCCACTACATTACCATAGAGCTTTTAAGGCTTCTTATATTGCCACAAACCATGTGAAGATGAACAAAACCAACTATTATGTGCTCAAATCAAGCAATCATAGTATAAATTGACTATTTGCATGAATTGTCATTTTGGCTAAGCCTATGCAAACATTGAAGTTGGTCTAACAAATTTCAATGGTAATAGAGGAGTATATTGACAAGAAAATACTAAAAATAGGGAGTAAAATAATCCAACTATTACAGTAACTCCTTATGACACAAGGAAAATTAAAGGGTATGGTATCTGGTAGAAAAATGATAAGAACAAGCATTTCTTGGACAAATGCAAGTCCAATTGTTGGAGTTCTGTCTCATTGATTGTTAAGTAGATGGTGTAAAATTAGAAAGGAAGGTTGCTAATGAGTTGTGCAATTAATGGGAAACCTCCATGATTCTCAGGTTTTATTTTGGATGGATGGTACCAATGTTCTAATGAGAGAAGTGTGTTATTCACTTTCCTAGCTTACTTGGATGTCTCTTCTCATGCTAGGAGGGGAAGAATATGATCTATAAAATAACTACTCGTAAATCCAAACTTGCATGCTCTTGTCAGCCCGTCTTTTATCATTGCATCAAGCAATGACTCCTATATCTTCTTCTGTTCAAGAAGAATGTAAAACAAGTTGAAAATCTTTAATAAGTGTGTGAAATAAGCTGTAAAACACAAAATACATCAACCACAGCTACAAAAGGATTACAGGTTCGGCCTGTCCGCTTGCAGCATTTGAAGCACTAAGCTGGGTCAGAGCTGATTTTAAAATGTACATCATTAAGCAAGTAATATACTAATTCAAATAAACTTTTAGCAAATAATATCATAAAAAATCATAAAATAAATCAGATATTGTCTGAAATCCATTATCTGTATAAGGATTAAATGTAGACTACGCTGAATAAATAAGCTAAACATACATCATCCCACGAAAGAATCAAAGGCAGGGAATTGTCTCAAACAAATATCAAAAACCATATTTGAGCAATGACAATATAAAGATAACTGTACATAAAATAAGAGGATAAAAAACTTCAAATGACAAAATCAAAAGTCAAAAGCATCAATTTTGTTTTACAGAGATGAAAAATAGAAAGCATACTTCCACAAATAATAATAATAATAATAATAAATATAAAAAATATATAGAAAACATTCACAAAAACACAAATTTTGAAAATCAAACAAATAAATGGGAAAAAAAAAAAAGTAACAAACAAATAATACATGTGAAATATCATACCACATGTACGGTGGATAGCCAATGAAAGACCCACCAACCCCGTTAGGCCTAGCCGACGATGACTGCGCATTTTGCAAATTCGGATATGAATGCTGCAGACCCTGCAGTGTCGGTGCACCGGACCCGTACGCCCCCAGCACGGAAGAATTCCCACCTAAATTAAATCCATGCGATGCCATGGGCGCACCATACCCCCCAAACCCTGTTGCCATGCCCCCATGCGCAGCCGCGAACAACGCAGCATTAGGATTGGCAAACAATGCACTGTACATCGGATTAAAACCTGGGTTTTGACCAAACAACGCAAAGTTCTGCGCTGCTAAAACTGGCGCCTGCACCGGCTGCACCGCTGTTGGTATCACCGGTGCCACTGGGGCCTTATTCTTCCCATCCGCCGCCTTCTGACAATGCAATTGGTGACCCTCAAACATCTTATACGGCTCTTCAAGCACCTTCCTTGCCCCTTCTGCAGTTTTGTATAAAAACAACGCAAAACCCCTCGATTTACCAGTCTGCATGTCGAACCCTATAGGACCAGTCTCAATTTCCCCAAATTTCGCAAAGAAAACACGTAATTTATCCGGATCGACGTCGGCCTGAACGTTACTCACATAGATCTTCCGCGCCGCCGTGTCCTGGCTCTGCGACTGCGCCGCCGGCCCTACCGACGCCAATTGGCACCACGCCATTCGACTACCGATCCGCTTCTTCTGTTCATTCAGGGCCTTCATCGCTCCAATTCGAGACTTGAACACAACGAAGCCATACCCCTTTGCCTTACCAGTAACTCGATCGGTGACGACGTTGCAATCCTCGATATCGCCGAACGATTCGAAAATAGAGACTAGGGTTTCGCGAGTGGTGTCCCAGCCAAGGCCGTGGACGAAGATCTTCCGGTGCGAGACGTCGCGGTCGGCGGCTTCGCGGATACTATCGGAGAGAGCGGCATCGTCTGCGGCCGCGTCGACGAGGAATTCGATGAGTTGGTCCTTGGTGTAGGGTTCGAGCAGCTTCTGGATAGTCTCGGACTCAGATTCGGGTTCGGAGTCGGGACTGGATGCGTCGTTCTCGAATTCATTGTTCGTTTCTTTGGTCGGAAGTGCTGCTAGGGTTTTGATCTTGACCTTCTTGGTCAGTTTCTTATCGACTTTCTTCACAAGCTTTCGCTTCTTGGCTTTGTTCTTCGGCATTGCGGTGGGTGCCATGTGTGTGGTGTATAGAGAGGGGAGAGGAGAAGATACTTCGGATAAGAGAGAGAGATGTGGTGGTGTATGGAGAGCAGATGGGAGAGGAGAAGACTTTCTCAGAGACTAGGTGAAACTCTACAATACTTCGTTGAGAGATCTGGTGGTGCATGGAGAGGGCTTTTTTGCCTAATACTTTGATTACTTTCATAGTGTAGTAAAACACTCTTAAAAAAAATAATCATAATAATTTCTAAATTATTCCCTAACATTTTTAATTAGCCATTCAAACTTTTAAACTTATAATATTTTTTACCAAACATGTTATCATATTTTTATTTTAAAAATAGTGTTAGACACACTCTAAAGCATAAGCTATTCAAATTTTCAAACTTGTAACACTTTTGACTAAATATGCTATCATATTTTTGCTTTAAAAAATCTTGTAACAAATTTACGTTACCAAACAAGTTTCAAAATAGTGTTGAACACACCTAACGCAGAAACATTATTTTTGTTTCAGGTCAAAATAAAAGCACAAAACAAAAGCGAAAACATTATTTCTATTTCGGGTCAAAACAAAAACACAAAGCAACTTGGTTGTCAAACTATCCATTTATGTTATGTTTGGCAGCACCGAGCAGATTATATTTCGTATTTAAGAAATTTTAGTTCAAAGTTTTAACTAAATTTTATTTTAATCCCAAATTTAAAGAACGACTGGGTACTCCAAACACAATATTAGATTTTTGGATAAAGTACAAAGACACTCCCTGAGGTTTACACTCCCTGAGGTTTGGAGTAAGGACAAGGAAATGAAAGTTTGTCTATTTTGGGACAAAGACACCCCCTAAAATTTGATAGAGCTACCAAAGACATCCAATGATAATGAATAGACATTTTTAACCCTCTAACTTTTATATTGACCAAATTGACATTTGAAATAACCTTTCTACCCTCCAACCCAAATCCTTTTCTTTCCACGTGGGTGACTACTTGAAGGCACTTGTCAAATAAATGTTGCTGCCTTTCCAATCTACAATAAGGTCTTGTTTTATCTTTATAAAATAAAATAAGGTCTTGTTTAAATTTTAATATTTGATATAAGAATAAATTAACATAAAAGCGGTGCAGTTTTCTTTGAAATGTATACCATTTATTTGGTTTAATTTTCTGAAAATAATTTATATTTTAAAAGAATAAAAAATAATACAAAATTTGTTTGGTTGATAATATTTTAAAAACTCAATTAAAAATAATAAAAAAAAACTTAACCAAATAGGTCCTAATTGGTCAGTACTGTTTTTAAAAAAGGGTAAAAAAAATCTAATAAAATATTAGAATGCAAATAACATGAATACATTGATTAATGAATAAAGCATGCAACTATTTCTTAACCTAAAAAAAGGAAGGAGGGGATTTCATTATTTAATACATTTGTTTCAACAATTTACAATCATTAACTTTATAAACTCCTTTATTGCAAGATAGGGAGCTTGCTTCCCATATTAGGAGAGATCTATTCTAATATTGAGCTTATTTAGAGAGAGAAATTTGCATTTAAAGAGAGAGAAATGAAGCTTTGGAGTTTGGTTTTCTTGATTTTTTTCTTGGGGATATTTCTCCAAGTAGAAGCAGATGATGGGTTTCATTGGAAGCATAAGAGTACAGCTTATGTTGAATGGTAGTCCTTACTATGCAAATGGGTTCAATGCATATTGGTTACCCACGTACGTACTTGAAGGTATTTGTTATCCAAAAATACCTTCAAGTAAAAGGAAGAAGAGAACTGAGAGGAGAGAAGGAAAAAAATGGGTATGGATTTGAGGATAGAAAGGTCATTTCAATAGTCAATTTTGTCAATATAAAAGTCAGAGGGTTAAAAATGTCAATTCATTATCATTGGGGTGTCTTTGGTAGCTCTATCAAATCTCAGGGGGTGTCTTTGTTCCAAAATAGGCAAATTTTCCTCTCTTTGTCCTTACCTCAAACCTCGGGGGGTGTCTCTGTACTTTACCCTAAATTTTTTATTGCTAAACATAATGAGTTCAAGGCTTATAAGTCCATCCTTGATAAGTGCTTAAAATTTCAGCACCTAAGTTAGGGTATTTCAGTCTTTGCATCTATCTTAATTTCATGTTTTAGTCCTAATTTATGTTTATGTGTATTTCAGGGCAATAAAGTTAAAATGAGCTAAGAACGGTCCATTAAAGCATTTTTGGAGTCAAGCAAAGATATTCAGAAAAAGTTCAGAAAATGACAAAAAGAGGTCGTAGCCTATTGCTTGTATAGTGTGTTTATTCTTCGAAAGCGGTCAATCTCGGGCCTTTGATGATGTTCCCAAAGATGAAGAAGCAAATCAATTAGCCCGAAGCCAAAATGGAGCTAAATAAGGCTTAAAGGAAATTTTCAACTCTGGGGGGATCGATCCCCCAGGACTTGGCAACATTACAGATTTTTCTTATTGTTTAGGCTTATTTTGTGATCTATTAAGCTTTAATAAGGTTATTACTTAAGGCCGAGTGAGCCATTAGTTTAGGGTTAGTTTTTATTTTATTTAGGAGAGAGTTTTATTATTTTATTAGGAAGTTTTTTTATTAAGGAATTTTTTATTCTGTACCGTGATATCACGTTCTCTCTGGGGAAAAAGGAAAAGCTAGGGTTTGAAGAACATTTTTTGACAGAGGCTTTGTCTACAATTGAAGGAAGAAGAAGAAGGAGCCAAAAGATGGAGATAGAGCTTGTTGACACCATGATCATCTTCTCCATGAGCTAGTTCTTCACTTAGGGCTTGGATGAGCCCTAAGTTCATGTAACCCTAACCTTTGTATTTCTTTTCTTGGGGAATTATTATGTTGTAATTAAATTATATGGCCTTGTGATTTCTTTATATATACATGCTTGATTTGATAAATTAGGGTTTGTATTAATGAATTCTTCCATTGAAATCTCCAATTGATTGTATGTCTATGTATGATTAATTAGGGATTTAATTCTTTTATTAATTCTATATGTAATTTGCATGTCTATGTGTGATTGCTTTAGGATTATATTCTACATTAAATACTTCTTGTAGTTGTGTTTAGTGATGGCCATAATATGATACTTATTTGATACAATTGTCAATTAATTTGATGGATAAAGGCTTAATCTTAATGGGTTGTTCTACAAATTAGCTTTCTTGTTATTAGTTAATTGTAGTTAAGTAGGCAATTTGTGCTTGATTATGTTAATCCATGTTTCTAATTACAATTAGTATTATTCTCTTGATTGATGTGTGCTCTTATTTGATACATTTGTGAATGTGTATGGTGGGTTTTGACATAGTCTTGAATGGGTTCTACATTTTAGTTTAATTGTCATTAAGTAGACAACTTATTCTTGATGTTGATAATCTATGCTTACAATTGTGATTTGTGATGATAATGTGGCTACATCTATAATTACACTAATGATTTCCCTATTAATTGAAAGTAAATGGTTAATTACATGAGCTTAGTGGTGAATCCTAACCCTAAGACTCTCTTCATATCTCTTTAATTCTTAGTTTAATTTACTTGCATTGTCATTTCTATTTCCATGCTTTCAATTGAATTCTAGTTTAATCACTCCACTAAAATCTTTTTCTTTCTCTCTATCTCTCTCTCTCTCTCTCTTGTGCAATCTCATTAGCATTAAAATCAAGTTTAATCCCACCACGTGTTTAATCTTTTTGGTTCAATCCTTTCTCACTTCATACTACATAGTATAAGTGTCTAGCGATTTATAAATGTAAACCATGATGCCCGCTTGATACCATTTCCAAAACCAAAGTGCTGTGCATTATTTTGTGCACATGCTCAGGTCGCATCAATCCTCTTCGACTCTCTTTTTCAAATAATATACTTTATTAAGCCTGTCATCTTCAAAACACTCCTCCTTTGTTTTTCATGTAACTCGTATATTCCTTTTTCAAAACTTTCCAAATTCATCACGTGAATTACATTTGATTTGATTCTGATAAGCAAACTAGGTAATTTCTAGGCTTGGTTATACTCCCTCGGTCTTAGGGATGGCAATTTGACCCGCCCCCGCGGTTACCCGCCCCACCCTGCCTTGTTTTTGTCGATTTTGGGGGACCGTTTTACTTATTTGGGCGAGGATGGTTTGATACAATAAAAATCAGCGCAGGTTTGCTGCGGGGGCGGGGAGAGGTCACCCGGCCCCGCCCCATTTAGATAGGCAATTTACTTAAATACCCTTATTTCATTAGTATATATATTTCCCACTATATATTAAGTACCCTATATAACAATATTAAAGTAGCAAATGAATTTTATTAAAGGGAAAGTTGTAATGGTGAAGAATTGAAGATGGAGAAAAAAAAAAAAAAAAAGAGCAAATCCATTTTAACAATAATAAAATTATGGTTTTAAATGGGGCGGGGCGTGTAATACCCCTAATTTTACAAAGGATAGTCCTGGAATTTCATTCGTTATTTACTTGAAATTTTTAATGATTAATTGTTATTTTCCTGACTTGCTTGATGTATTTGCCCTAATTGTGATTATTTATTTTATTTGAATTACTTAGTATTATTTGAATTAATTGTATTAATTGTTTAAGTTGTTATTTAATTGTATTTCATTATTTGTTTTGCATTAACGTGTCTGTTTAGTGTTGCACACATATAGTTAAATTAGGTTTACAGTTTTCAGTTCAGCCGACATTGGATTATAACCTAGGTTGTTTTATGGGCCGAGTGAATTGTATTAGGGTTTAATTGAGCCTAAGGTTAAGGTGGTCTATAAATACTTATCTAAGGGGTCTGTCTAGGGTTTTTGAATACCATTACGACACAGTAAGGTTGTGAGAAGTTTTAGAGACGGCTGGGAGGAAACAGAAAGATAAACCAAGGTTTCGCCGAAGAATTTAGACGGGGAAAGGCTAAAGGCAAGTTCTAACCTCATCTCTTTCCGTTTTACTCGTGTTCTTTGCATGCCTAAGTGGTTCCAGGAAAACATTAAACAGAATTAATTGACTGAATTAATTAACTATGCATATTTAGAACTCATTATATCAGTATGTATTGAAACTTGTTGTAAACTGTTTATCTTGTGTTCAACTGTGTAACTACTCTGTTAAAGTACTATTGATCAATGTATGAAGGGGGTAGATGGGTTTTCTCAGGGTAGGTTTGAGCACAA